ATATATATATATATATATATATATATATATATATATACCGGTAGCGGGCGGTCCGCGTACCGGTATGCTGTCAGACCGGTACGTACCGCCCGTACCGGGTGGTATCATTCGGTATTGTCTACCTTGGTCTAGACTACTTACTTTCCTAACTTGTGATCTCACAACTTGTATGATGATAACACTTGTTAAGTTCTATACTGTTTTGAAATAGGCGAGGAAAGAATGAGAGAGCCTATAAATATAGGATATTATAAGACCTAATGGTAGTAAATCATATCAGATTTTTATGAATAATGTATCTTGAATTCCTTGTTATCTCTCTTTTCTCTTCCTTCCTTCACTCTCTTCTTTTATCTTTTTTCTTATAATTTCTCTCTTGGAGGATACCTTCTCTGAAAGAGCAAAAAAAAGGCCTCTTCATAGGAGAGGTAATATCCTATAAAGATCATATCCCTTATTAAGATGTAATTAAATCTATATCAGATTTCTTTCAAATTCTATTCCAATAAACCTACCACTTACCCATCTTTTGGATTCTCTATGGCTTCAAATCAGAATAAAGAATGCAGAGTGCAACAGTTTAACTGAGAAGCACAATCAAGTATCAGATATATATGAAAATAAAGCCATCAAAGCTGAATCCATCCTCGTCTCCTTAGTCCTTACTATTCATTCTTGTATTCCATATCCCCATCCAGTTCAATGAATAGGACTTCATTGTGCAAATAAGTAACTGCATAATATTATAACATTAAAAACATCACATTCCTGTAATTAGGATCACATCACAAATCAAATTAGACCCATAATTCTACAAGATGAAGATTTGCTGCAAATTTGATGCTTCAGACAATGACTAGCTTAATTCATACATAAATGCATTAAAGTTAGCTCAAGGGGCTACACATGATACATGAAACAAAAAAATATACTTGTGAAAATTTTTAGTGCTATGATATTAACATAATTTTGTACCTTGCAAATTGAAGAATCAGCAAAAACAGACTGTAGAATGCCCATCGCATCATGCAGAGCAATTGTATCTATTAGGTAATCTTCCTTTTGAGTAGAAATCTGCTACGACCAATCATATAATATTATAGAAAAATAAATCACGACAATAAGTCCATATTCAATAACAAAAGTCACCAAATTTACCTGCATAAGAGCAGTAAATCCAAGGAATGACCTAAGACTATGTTGTTCTGTATCAACAGCAAAGACTCTCTCTTTACTCAGTAGTCTTGCAAGTAAGTCTAACTGATGCTCTGTATCTATCCAAACATAAGAATTGCTCATGTCTGAATATTCATGGTTTGTCATGAATGTTGTAAGAGGAGGATGCTCTAACAAAGAAGCAATTTCATCTGCAAAGGGATGCATCCTTAAAGATATTTCTGCATGGATATTAGGAGGTTAGAAGCAGGATCACAATAAGTGACATCAAAACTAAGGTAATGAGATATTATTAATATCAAAATAATGGCACATTATCTCTTGTCATCTATTTGGACATCCTTAGAAGATTGACTTAGAAGCAAGCCCCAACACATTGACTTGCATTTAGATCCAATCCAAGCAACAAAGATAGTCATTTCTTTACTTGATACTCTCTATGAGTGCATATATTTGCAGTCACTAATCATGTTTAACAATGTCTCATGGTGCTATAGGGGTATCCAAATCTTACCTTTGACAATGTGCCACTTACCCTAGTATGAAACTATGAATAGCTTAAACAATATATCATTGGTTCAACATATTTGGAATGCATGTGAAGGACAAGTGAAATATGGCAAAAAAGTAAAACTACATATGCATGTAAAAACAAAGAAAGTCAGCATAAGGCTAGAACTGTCAATTTTATTTGCTGGGCTCATTCAATTGGTTCGGAATTCAGGTAATATAAATGTTAATCAGCAGATCAAGAGTTTCTCAAGCTGCCAAAAAAAAAAACTGTTCGGATGAATTTCTAGCAATAATGGCAAAAAATGTTTCTGTCACAGTAATTTTACCAATAGGGTTGCCCTTCTCCAAATTCTCATTTCATGCTTACAATCACTTCGACCAACTTATCTTATGCCATGTTTGTTTTCTTGTAACCAAACACAGTGCAAGTCCACTCACAGCAAGTGAGCATTGTTCAGTGTATGTGGTCCATGTACTTTCAACTTCCAAAGAGCACAAACTAAAATACTGCAAGACTGATTCAACTCAGTTATAGTAGCTCAAGTTTGAGATGACCTTATAAATGTTGGAAAGAAAGTTATAGTAGCTCATTTATTGTTCAGTTCCTCATGCACTTTTGGCCTCATCCAATAGTGAGATATGTTGGGCTCCTAGAATCAAGTCAATTTGATGTTAAATGTCCCTCAGAGGAGGTAGACCATCAGGGAGTTTTATAAGAAGGTGAACATGAAAAGGACAAATTCATGTGTCTAAATCATGTAAATCAAGAGAAACTTGAGATATCTAACATAAAACTTGGCTTTCTTAAGCTAGTCAGGTTGTGCAAAGTTACATCTCGCTTTTCTCAAGATCTAAATTGAATAACCAAGTTATGAATAAACTAAAATACCCATGTTTTCCAACTATGTTTTGATTTATGACGCATTGTAACAGGCAATTTTGGTATATTCACCCTATAAAATAGACTATTAGCCATCAAAATAAATGTTGTCGATATTTATAGGGATAGATAATCTCATCAGGCAAAAACATGCTGTAGTCAAGAATTTTTTTTTTTTAACATTATACAACATGCTACATATGCGTTGTGGCTCATCTGTATATATATGTATATATATACATATATATACATATACATACATACATATATATGCATATATATAATATACATATGCACACACAGACACACACACACATGTGCATATACATATACATATACATATACATATACATATATATACATATACATATATATATATACATATACATATATATATATACATATACATATATATATATACATATACATATATATATATATATATATATACACACACACACACACATGCATATACATATATATACATATACATATACACATATACGTATACATATACATATACATATATATATATATATATATATATATACACACACACACACATATATATATACATATATATAGATAGCCAATTTTAAAGCAGCAGCAATGTGATGTCACAATATAGGTTTCTTAATGTTCTTACAAGTATAGGACTTGAATATGACCATCTTGGGTAGCCATATTCAAATCAAAGATGTTCTGAAATGAAGCACAGAAGTTTGGTCTTTTCTATTATCTTTATTATGGATTAAAAGGTTTGAGTATAGATTCGACAGAGCAACAAAAGAATACCATGATTTATATTTTTGGATGGACCATTAGAAAAAGGATACAAAACAGAAACAACTCTTAGTATTCCTAGAGCTTTCAACTTACAGTAATAAAAACCTAAAGATTCCCAGATGAGTAGGCATTTATCATCATTTTTCATAACCTTTTAAGTCTATTGTGTTGCCATTTGGTGATAGGTAGCATAATCTTGGTAGTTACATTTTGGTACAATCTCATCTGCATTCCAAACAGCTGCAAGTGTAATTAATGACTTACAAGAACCATTTGACTATGTCCATTGCTTAATTGATTCTTAGGCACAGGTAGATTTCAGTCAAACTCTGTCCAAACATTAAGGAGATGATTAGAGTATCTCCTTATGGAAGCTAGGCATTTGCTTCGTGCAATGAAACAAGTGCAATGAAACAAGGGACTAGACAATATAAACAAGAAACCAGCAAAACTATATACAATAAATAAATAAAAAATCTAACCATCTTGTTCCGGTGTTTCAAGAAGTATGTGTTGGAACACGCACAAGAATGCAAAATCCAGAGCAATAATTAGCATTGTGCTTCACACACATAGATGGACGGTATGGAATGATAGAGCATATTCCGACACCACCCACGTGGCGACAGACAGTGGTCACCTCGAAACCGACGTGGCGCATGCGCGCCGACATGGCACCTCGAACTCGGGCACAACGACAAGCCGCACCCGCGCCACTCGAAGTTGTACGAGACGGAGCCACCCTGCACAAAACCATCCGCGACGATACGAGGCGGCACCGCACGACGCAAAACCATGCAAGTCGGTTCATGCTGCGTAGAGCATATGGGCTGGCCGCTCGGGAGCTCGACGACCATTAACGGATCTCGTACAACCGACCCCCTTGCCAACGCGAGAGGGCGATCCCCGGAGCACTCAAACACACCAAAACTCACCTCAACACCACCATACTAACTTAAGTTTCAGAGGGTCGAGTCGGGATTCCCCCTCCTGAATTTGGCATGTGTGCAAGAACCTAGTAAGGAAGGAAAAGCAACTCCCAGCTCGACCTCGGATCAGCTTAACAGGCAGCGTCCCGACCCGACCTGACGCAGCCCCTCTCCAACCAGGAAGCCACGCGGACGACCTTGCGCATTTGGATCGGACCGAGCCGTGCTGACAACTCGACCACGACGTGAAGTTGGACAACAAGTCATTTTATGGTATTTGTAATGATCATGGCATGTAGGAAAAGAATAAAAAGAAGAAACAACTTAACATTGCCAATCATTCACAAAAGAACAAGAATCTTGAATGCAAAACTTTTGAAAAAAGATTGGATATCCCTCTTGAAACCTTCTCCGACACAATTTATTCATACGGAATTTGGCACTTCAAAGTAGAAAAAGAACTCTTGATTAACAAGAAAATGGGCAATGCAGACTGATAGGACACATTTCGGTATCGCCCACGTGGATCCAGGCAAGCAGACATGATGATGTAGACGTGGAACTTCAAGTCCGATGTGGCGCGCGGCACACACGTGGCGGGCAACCGCTCATCCACCCCTCCGTATGAACGACATCATCACGGTACAGCCATCCCAGAAAGCTCGGGGTGGTGTCACGTAATGCCGATCCATGCAGGTCGGTCGACGCTCGCATAGAAGCTTAAGCCAGCCGTCCGAGGAGCCGACCACAGTTAATTGACCCCGATGGCTAACTCATCCTCACATGTATAAAAACTAACCCTCCTTAATCAGGAGGGGGGAAGACTTTCGTACATTCAACTCAATCTTATTCCACTCAATGCTAATTTAAGCTTCCGAGGGATCGAGTCAAAAAATACTCCTCCTGACCTCGACCTGTGTGTAGGGACTGACGACGAAGAAGCAGGCAACAAGATTCATAGCTCAACCCGACCCGACGTGCACTTCCGCTGCATGAGTCCGGGATCGGACCGAGCCGTGCTACTCCTCGGCCACGGCGTAGAGGTTCACCAACACAGACGAACGCAAGAAACCCTAAAAGTTATAGAGTCAGGTGGTCCGTTCGCAAGAAGGGTTACCTTTCTCTTTGCCCTCCCGCTTGAAATGCTTGAAGGGGGAATAAGAATTGTCTGCAAGAACGCGCTTGAACCGGTTCTGGGGCTTGTCCTCGAGCTCGGAGCAACAATTCCCGCCGAAGGTCCTCTGCCGACGCCGCCGACGCCACCGGCGGACCGAGGAAGCGGCGACAAAGAACGCCGCAACGCACACAATGGCGACCAAGGCGTTGATCGTCTCGATGCCGATCGCCGCCTCCATTCGCGAGAGCTTCTTGTTCTCGACTTCGTTTCGGCAAAGGGGTCTTGGTGGCCGCCTTCCTGAGACAAATTTCGAGAACCAGGTGTTCTGTTCACCGCCACTGGTGTGCTCACCGCCATATATCCCTCTAAATTTTGTAACTTTCGAATTTATCCATACTTAACATATTATATATATATATGTAAAATTTAAAAATCTTACACTTATTATAGTTAATATTCATTAGTCAATTGTCAGAAGAGATAGAATCTAATGAAGATTCATTGAAGCTGTTACAAGATATTGAGATGCTTTCTATAACTCAAATTTAGCTACTAATAATCATAACATTAGCATTTAATCATAGTATATTTGCTGGCAGGAGAAATTTATGTTATTTTAAAATTGAGAGGGATAAATATGCTATATATGTATATATACATCCAAGTAAAAAATAAGAATTAAATATACAAAAGAGTATGTGTTGGATACAAATATTTATATATGGTATTAATAGAATAACCTACTTGAAAAAATTATAATTAGTTGTAAAGGTTGTACTTGAATAATATTATTTCGATTTAGACAAAAAAAAAAGTTTCCACCAATTTATTACATATTTTTTTAAGATTAATTATAAATTATCTTATGTAATTAACTATATTTAGTATCTCGATCCTTATATATTCAAAAATTATATTAGGTAAAATATTAAAATCTTTCTTTAGGATTAAAAAATAATTTTATAAAATAAAAAATAGAGAGAATGATTTTATTAAAGTAATACGATAAGATGTTTTACTTTTCATAAGTATATGATTCTTAATATAACTTTTTAAAAAGACAGGGATAGAAAAATTTAAAAAAAGTAATTATATGAGATAATATATAATTAACTCATATTTTTATTATTATTTGATTTCTAAGAATCATTGATTTACCACAAGCCATCGATAGGGTTAGGGGTGGTATTGTTTACAATATATTAATGAGACATCCAAGATTTAGCTATCACATGCCCAACTACATCTAACGGTGATTTCTTGATCATGACATGTGAATGATTTTGGATAAAGCTATAATTGAACCACTCACCATTATCATTATTTATGGGCTAAAATAACTAATTCTTTAATTGATTTTTAATTAGTAATTAAGAAATCAACAAAAAAGCTGTTAGGGACATATAATAATATATCTTTAATTGATTCGGAATTAGCAGTTATTTTGGAGTCCAAAGGTCTTTGCTTGTTCGAGCAGGCAAACTGTCCCTTTCTCGTTTTCCGTGCAGCTTAATCCAATCCTTCTCCACGTCTTTTAACTTCGTTCTACTATAAAAACCCTAGCAATTATTTGACCTTTCCCCAATTCCTTAGGTTCCCGAAACGCCTGCCCGTCTCCGAGCTCCCCTCTTTCCCAATCCGGTGCCGAGGAATTCTGTTGCCGCAATTGATTCCTCGATCGTTTAGAGTCCGAACTCGATCCTTCCACCCACGATCCATCGATCGATCGGTATAATTTTCGATTGTGATTTTTGATTGTTTTGGATTGGAATCACCGGTGGTTGTGACGGTATTTGCGTGGTCTTGGGAATTTCAGCAGGAATCCTAAACTCTCGATGGCCAACAGCTCGTTCAAGCTCGACCACCCCCTCGGTTTGTGCTTCCAAGCCCCGCAATTTCTCGAAGAAAATGTTGTCTTTTTATGTCAGGGATGGGATTTTGGAATAAAGTTCGATTTTTTTTTTATATCTATGCTGCTAGGTTTTCTTTAGCATGTAATCTTTTATGACTCTATGGAGATTACGGTTGTGGTTTGAGATCGTTTGGTTGATTTTATGCTTTTAATTAAAGGAGATTGTCTGAGAAGAGGGAATTGAGTTTCAAAAGGAACATGAAATTCTTAAAATGTTTCTTTCATATGGATTCGAATCTAGGATGCTCACCAACATTTCAGGTTAACAAAAGTTCATAACCCTTTATATTAACATTGAAGTGCCATGAACCTGAAGCATGTCTGGAGCAGCAAATTTAGTGATTATTTGTTCATGTGGCATTCAATTATGGGAGGATACTTATAGAAATGTGGCAGGTTATGATGTGAAACTTTATGGATACACATAACAAAGTTGCACTCATGTGTGCTGATGGATCAATGAGTTTGACTTTGCATATGAGAATGACTGAAATTTTTAATTGACAAGTAAATATACAGATGAAATATGTGACTTTGCCTCTCGGAAGTTCCTGTTATCCACAGTATTTGTGAGTTCTTACTTTTATGGTCTACTCCTGTGGTTATACTTGAACTTACCTTGTAATTGTTACCGCTTTGATTTTTATCTTAATATTGCCTATGACTTGCTTGATATTTGTGTGATTGGCTTCTCAAGTTTCTTGATTTCTATGTTGAAATGGATTCTGCATTCTAATTTCAGAAAAAAGGCAGGCTGAGGCTGCACGAATCAGAGAGAAGTACTCCGATAGAATTCCCGTAAAAATTTCATTTTTGTGGTAATTTTAGAATGATACTTTATTAATTCCTCTCATAGATATTGTCATTTAATGTAGGTGATTGTTGAGAAGGCTGAAAGGAGTGATATACCAGACATTGACAAGAAGAAGTTAGTACTTAACATTTCATTTTTAAGATCTGTCTGTTTTATGTGACTATATTTTTAGTCATCTAAACTTTAAAGAAACAAATATTGTTCAAGCGAACTTTCATTTATGGTCCTTAACTAGATCCGTATGACTCATTTGTAGTTGTGGTATTTCTTTTCTTCCCTTTTTTTGAGGGTCAAACATGTTTTTCATGCTTTATCTTCATTATCAATGTTTAATTAGGTGGACTTTTGGGGGAAAAAATGTTTAACTTTGTGGACTTAAATTCTGGGAATTCCTGTAATACAGTTAGGTATGTGCTGTGATCTACTACACCTGTGTACAACTTTTTTTGAGGAAGAACCATTGTTTCTTAAGTTCTATAAAAAGGAATTCCAGATATCCTCACTTTACTGGTTTCCTATTCTTAGAATTTGTTGATGAATGGGAAACATTGTAGAGGTTATATAATTACTTTAAAGTTGAATTTTCCTTTCCCGAGGTGAAGAAACAAACTGTTCCTGTCTGACCTAGTATTAGGAAGATTTTAACCTGTAAAATTTTGTACAGTTTCTATGCACATGACCACTTGATTTAGTGGAGCAGGCCTTAGCATGTGGTTTAACCATGAATATGCAGTTAGGAAATTTGTTGTGAGTGGCATACACCATGTCTTACATTTTTAGTTAAAATTATATAACCAATAATGTTGACATATTTTCTTATTTTATTTTTAGTCTTTACAATTTCTGAACATGTCTTATGGCTTTATATAGGTACCTAGTTCCTGCAGATTTAACAGTTGGACAATTTGTTTATGTTGTTCGGAAGAGGATTAAGCTCAGTGCAGAGAAGGCCATCTTTATTTTTGTCAAGAACACATTACCACCTACAGGCATATGAGCTACTTCATATTCAGTTTGTTTGTTTTTGCTTTTTTTCATTGTATTCATCCATAATTTTCCATTGCAGCTGCAATGATGTCTGCCATCTATGAAGAACACAAAGATGAAGACGGTTTTCTTTACATGACATATAGCGGCGAGAACACATTTGGTCGCTTTTAAGATGATCTGGCATGTGCTATCCTTGTAAATAAAATAATGAACGCAAATGTGCATATTTCTGACATTGGTTAAATTTCTGCTCTTTAGATGTAGCCTCATAAAGCTGGGCTGTCAATCTCGCTACTTTCAACTCTGGAATTATAACTATTACTTCCACACAAGTTCATGTCAGCTTCATGGCATATGACATTTTTTTGTTGTTGGCTATGTTGGTGTTGAACTGTGCTTTGTTTGATGTTAAATTTGATGTGCAAAGTCACTCATTTCACTATGGAACTTGAGCCGACATGCATCACATTAATCCAAGGGTGTCTGGATTATCTGGTTGATCTTGCAGCAAATTAACTCTGGTATCACTGACCACCTCTATTTTGTTGTTTTCTTTTGAATAGATTGTTTTGTTACATTTATGAATCTAGTATCTACTTGATTAAGCTAGTTTCTCATCCTTTTATCTGTTTAATTCCCAGCTTTTAGTGTTAGAATTATCAAGAGTCCATTTTCTGAGAATTCAACGAGCTTTAACCCAAAAAATTTAATTTTGTTTGGACCAGTTTATACTGAATGGTATTTATTGGTCGAGACATGAATCGTGGACCGCTCTGTCTTAGATGCCTCCGATTCTTTTTAGTGCTTGTGACTCGCAAGCCCTGTCTACCCTTTGTGTCTTCTATCGTCTAGTACTTTTCCTCCTCCTTCCTCCATGGTCTACTCGTCGTCCTTTTTTCTTCTCACATCTCCTCCTTGTGGCATCGAAAATTTCATTTTTTGATTCAATTATCAATGTCAAAATGGATTCTCAAGCCTACTTTCTACTAATCAGGAGATGCTAGTCCTAAAAGGACATTAACTGTCGAAAATTGAACTTTATCCTAATGGATGTACTTTTCCAAGTTGAACTAAAGATCATAGATCACAGACCATAAGAAGAAAACACTTCCTTACAGGTAAACCACAAGGAACACCCATCACTCTGCACAACAAGAGAGAGAAGGAAAAGTCATCTATAGGATGACCAGCACTTATTACACCTGAACCCATTAACATGAGTTGTAAGATACAAAAAAATTGGTCATCAAGAACCTCTAAAGAATGTCGGGGGAGAATTGCCACTCCCTCTCCTCTCTTTCACTTTCTGTATTCCTCACTTTCTCACTGTTCTGGGGATCATTCTCTTTAAACTCTGATACTTTCGCGATGAGAACATGTTTGTATAGATGCAACGTAACGCGCCACCATGTCAACAAGCAAAAGGGATGCTTCTCTCAAAAGACTGCATTCAAGAGAGCGTTTTTGCCTTCCCCGCACCGCCGGTGAACCTCCTTGATCCTTTCAGCTGAGTTGCAGATGCCACTGCAGCTCCAATCGAACGAGGCAACACAGATGTTGCCTGCCTGGGCTTTCCACTCACAGTCTGCATACAAGTAGCACCGGTGCATTAGTCTATCATATATTATAGCTCGAAAGAATTGCTCAGAGCAAGAGCTTAAGAACTACAACTGATACATTGACACATAGATTATGAATCTATGCCTGCATGAAGTACCATTCACATAAAACTCGATTAAACATCATGATGTGTACAAGTAACCAATGGTTCCTGTCAACCACAGTTTAACTTGATGTTTTGTTGTCGTCCTGTTGTAATTCTTTTACTTCTCTACATCCCACATTTTCTCAGAAAAGGTACGATTGTGTTCTTATTATGCTTCTTTGAGTGAAACTCTTAATTCTTCTTCAACATGTTTAGAGCATGTTTTTAATGAGCAACACAATGTGTTCAATAAATGTAAAACTGGACAAATGAGTTGAGGCCTGCAACCAACACCGCACCCAAGATTTTCAGAATATTTTACAAAACGATATATTTTTATGTGCCGAAATTCTAAGACAAGACATACTTTATCTAACTGCCTCGACATAGAACTAAACACGATGTAGATTTTATTTATACATGCGATACTTGTGAAGAAGCTTTTGGTGACTACAAGCAATGCAGGAGAATCCAAGATGGAAACTTAATTGATCATGCATCACTGTTGATAAAGAAAAACTAGTGTGTCTTGATGAATTTGTATCTTACCTGGAGGGGTACCACAACATAGTCTGCGGTCGTCGATATGTTCAACATCTAGTCCAATAAACCATGATCCCAGTGAAACATCCTCATTTGCATACTTGTGAAGCACATGCCTAATGTTAAGAGAACCAGAGTAGTTGCATCAGAGGTCAGTTAAGGTAAAATTAGTTTTCAGAATATAGCTCCAACAATGATTGTAGCATTCACAGCATTAGAAGAATTGGAGTTCAATGCAGCAAACATGTAGCAAAAATTGGATGCTAGTTGTAGCTTACTGATTCATGGATATGTAAGTAGCCAAGTCCTTTGAAATGGCATATAGCTGCCCAGTAGCATGCCGGAAATACTTATTTCCTTCTTCTCCGAACTTCCAATACTCAGGTTCGTGGTATCTCACTCCCCTGTCCATTAACAACATTCGACACTGAGACATACTAAATGGCACCTGTCGATCACAAATACCGTCATGTAAAAAAACATGCTTACTTTTGAGCAAGGACTGGACCAGATTTCATACATCCAATGTATACCCGAGGCTTCGAACGGTGCTTGGCCAGAGTTGCACCAAGAGTTGCTACAATTTTGGAAGTCAGATAATTCAACATATTCACATTAGACAATTAAGAAAACAAACATATAGTCAAAGCGAGACTGTAGTTCCAGTAAAGAGGATCAAGTGAAAGCTAGGGCTGAGTGGACTGTCATATGTTTGTTTCTTTTTTCCAGGGAGTATCAAATTTCCTAAGGTAAATAGCAGAAGTTCTAATTTTTTTACAGTTAAGATTGATATTGGGTGCAAGCAACTTAAGCTATGTAAATTACAAACTCAACATGTTATACATCGAAAGAATATATCTTAAGAGAAAGAAGATGCTTGTAAAGCTAAAATTTCATCTTGCTAGACGAAGACATATGTAAGCAACGAGAATAGCTACTTCACCTACCAATATTTACATGTACATCATCGTCTACTTTGATGTAGAAATCGGCATCCCACATAGAAACAGCAGTTGCAAAATATATTTTAGTTTTGGCCGATAACTCAAGATAGCCTTCAACATGATCCTGTAAATAAATGTATCATTGAATCAATAATACAAGTTTGACCATGTGGAAACCAAACAAAAGTATGTTAATGGAAAACTTGGACTGGCCAAATAACATCTAATCATGATAGCAATAAATCGCTCTACGCTAAAAAGAATTCAAGAATCCAACCAGTCTCATTAAGTCCCCATTCTTTGCATGTTCAGCTTCAATTGCCTTGTCTAAAATTCCACCAGATGTAGCACTGTGAGAATATCTCAAGGCTGTTAGATTGAAAATCTATTGAGCAGCAGAGGCAACAAAGTCAGAATAAGCTGAACAAAAGCTAGAAAGGTTCTCAATGCTCTTTTGGTTCTCTCTGTGCATTCAATTGTAGGAGGGGAATCGAGTAGTAAAAAAATAGAAGATATATTTCTCCTCCCAAGCTGATAAATTTGGAGAATTTACTTTTTTGGAAATTTACTTTCTTATATTGTTCTATTTACTGACCATTTTTCAGGACAAAAAAAACAATAACAAAGGAAATAATCAAGGTGAGTAGGGATTTTGAGTAAAACACCACAAACAAGATAACTTGAGCTGAAGTCTAGGCTAAGAATGATGCTTTTTACACTAAAATCATAAGAACAAGAAAAGAGAAAACTAAACTAGTCACGTCCATTTTCGAAACTTCTTTCAATCATACTCCCATCTTGATGCTATTATAAAACACATCATGCCTAGTTTGAAATTACATTTCAAATTAAAGCATCAACTGCAATTCACCACAACACCTTAGTAGAGCATGTCTTGAGAGCCAAATGGAGTTGTAACTTGCAGTCAATCTTTGGCATAAATATAATTTTTCCATGGTAAGATGTTTACATACTAGCACACAAATGCAAGGTGCAAATTGTGGTTTACTCATGCTCACTAAGCATATTGACAAACAAAGACACATAAAGAGACAACACATGGATGGACATGGAAAGGAAAAGGAAGAATCTACAAGAACATGTTTTCTGATGAAACTAGTGTTGCAGGTACACACCTGTGACCGATGACAAACCGAACAATAATACCTTTCTCTTCCTCCAGCTTCTTTCTCTTTTCACCTATTAATTATTACACATAAGAATTTGATAATTAGATCCAAGCAATTGATCATGAAACAATATGCAAATGCAAGTGGACAATGAAACCTTGAGGCATCCAAGTTGCACGAACTGAATCTCTTCTCCGACGACTGCTAAATGCAGTATTAATTCCTATAACCATCAGATACTTCCTTCGTGCCCTAGATTCGGTAGCCTTTAGAGTCTCCGACAATGGAGCACCATTGACTATTGACTCCTGTGTGGCTCTGGCAGCTGCTAATTCCATTTCTAAGTTCGCTATTGTTTTATCAAGTGTCCTGTGCAAAAGGTTCTGTTACTGAGCAGATTGTAACTAAAAAATTCTCACAGGTATCATCAGATGTGCTATTACTATTATGATTTAAATTCATATCCAAAGAGTTCTGATGACACAAACCGATACCCTGACTTACTGTATAACTTGCTGTGTGTTTGAAACTTTGCCGAGGATATCTTTGGCCTCTTGTTTTTTGTCGATCTGAAATACATGAAAACAGAAAAAGAAAAAGGATGATGTAACGAGTAATATACCAGCTAAAGTGAAAAATAAATGAACTAACAATTAGTCTCTAATGAGACACCGACAAAAACTTATTTTTTTGGCAAAGCTGATGAATTCATAGTTTAAGGTAGAAACAGAATGTAACAACATTTTCCTATATCAAAAGAATGCAATAGCATTTATGTCTAACCACATTGCCATTTTAGAGAATAAATTGAAATAACTATGCACAAATGGTATAAGGTTAACACACTCACTGTTCTTGAATTGCAGTCATTGGCAACTAGATTCAGCTTATTATCTTCTGTTCCCGTTGTCCTGATGATGTCCTTTGCTTCAGGCATTGTCCAACTGTCACCATTGATCAGGATTATGACCACATCACATGGTTATTATAGTGGAAACTGAAATGAGTAGGTAGCATGCCATGATTTTGCTCAAGAGTAGATGCTACTCTAAAGTAAAGAAGCTTTCAAAGAAAAGTATATCATGCTATCGAACCACCGAAGACTCTAAAGCCCAATTTCTTGATGCACAGCATGGTGCTGAGAACTTATAAAAGGGAATTACTACAACTAGCCACAGTAATGACACCCCTAAGCTGGTCTAAGTATATCGCTAAAACACATACTGTAAAGGCCCATCTGTTCATCACCAACACTAAATTAATGAAGAAAAAAACAGTAATTTATCCACTTTGCAGAAGCCACAGAAACTGAGAACAAGCTATTCCAGTTTGATATGTCTGATGATATCAGAAAATTCAGTTTAGCTACTTTCTGTAGCACCATATTGTCCTATAAATCACTATCCAATTTGCATCAGACCAACTGTTTCTTTAAGTGGATCTGCAGCTAAAACAGATTAGTGAGTCTAGTCAATCAATTCGGATGCAAGAAGTGGTACTCAATAAAGCATATTGATCGGACAACTATAGCACAATAATCATGCATTCCAGCTATCACAACGAATCGATCAGATTATACTGATCTGATCATAAACCACTAACAAGGCTCTGTTGGTCGAAATCCAGACCAAAGCTTTCTCTTTATAAGGAAACAGAATCTAAGAAGCCAAGGGCCCAAAGTGAAGGAACCAAACAGAAAAATTGGTACCTGTTGATGAAGAGTAGACCAGCACAAAAGCTTCCAAGGCAAAGCAAGAAGGTCCACGTCATGGACACCATGCCCCTTGCCGACAACTCTCCTCCTCCCCCACCGCCGCCGCGACCTCCTCCTCCTCTCTTGAAGCTCATAGCTGCTCTCCTCTTCTTCTCCCCTCTTACAGCGCACCGAGAGCCGCCACAGAATCCTTCCAATCACCGCTGTCCATCTCAAATTATGAGTAAAGATCCCACCTTTCTCAGCGGAGGCAACGTATCGATGAAACAGAAGGAACCGGGGAGATCACAACAACCAATAGGCAATTTCAGCAAGGGAGGGAATTGAATTCGGCCCAGTGGAACCGAGAAGCTGGAAACGAGGGATAAAAACTGGATCTTCAGCGGGGAAGTCGTCGGTTTTTGGACTCTTCCTCTCGACTCGTAGTCTATTCCTCTCTTTGGGGTGGACTGTGGAGGAAGCCAGAGAGACCCACCAAACGAAGGAAGCGAGGGAAAAAGGATTCATAGTAACAAAGATTTTACTTGGTTTCGTGGACTCTCTCATCTGCGGTTGCGTTCGGAACGACTGATGCAGATTGGCACAAATGCCCCGGAGATCATCGGAGTGCTGCGAAGGAAGACGGTCATTCGCTATAAAGAAAGGTAGAAGATCATGTGGACAAGAAGGATGACAGGTTGGAGTAGGTTCAAATCTAAGATGTTTACAGTGGTGTGTGTTGGCCTTTTGGAGTCATCATTCTGCACATGATTGCTTCACTGCACATTTCCTAGATTTATGGTAATCTACATCTGAAGACTGAGATGAAAGATGACCGATAAATATAAATATATGTATATATATATAGATGATGATTATTTTTGTCAATAAATCATAAATAATTATTCGTTTTAGGTAAACTCATTCTATTATATTAGGCGATGTGATCTCTCTGAGCTATAAAAAAATTATCCATTTTAGAATTATTTGTGTAAATCATAAGAAATAAAAGTATTATGTCAGACAATGTGGGCTCTATGAGCTATAAGAAATTATCCATTTTATGAGTGTTTGTATAATTTTAACATAAGTTTTTTTTCTGAAGTCTTAATTTTCTAATTCTTCTACAAATATGAGATTACATATGATATTATCATTTTTTTGATATTTTAAATTTGTTTATGTAACAATTTTTGGGTCAGTTCTTATCTCACTCTATGGTAGTGAAGTAGAAGAAGAATTAGAAGATGATGCCCAAGTAGCATGAACACAAAGATGGCTAGGCACCACAATAAGTGCTTGTTATGCCCAAGAACCATGCACATAACTTTACTACTATGACCGAGACGCACTACTGCTTCATCTTTCCAAGGAACACAGCAGTCAATAATTGCAATTATATGATATTTCATTGCTTCCTTTTGTGGGTAGGACCAATCAAGCAACAAACTTAGCTTCCTGTTTCGTGCATTGAGTTAGCAGAATGATGCAAGAACAGATGGCCTCAAGCATGTGTGGTCCTTTAAGAGGCCCTTCAGTCACATGGATTCTTAGAGTGATGGGAGGGCAAATAATATTTCCAACAAGAAGAGAAGACCATGCTTTCAATAATGACCTCCCAACTGCCTCTTCCTTCCACTTCACATGGAATGAAAGAAGAAGGATTGATGAGCTCTCTTATCTGAAAGTAGATTCAAGGAGGCAAGACTGTCAAGCTTGCAGAGCTTCTTCTCTTCTTTTGATGAGGATTTCTTTGTGGCAAGTCAGATATATACTTACCTTGGAAACCACTCAGCCATCTGACAAAGAAGCCAATGGCCTGCAACTCCACATGCATGGGGGAAGGGGCACCACATGGGATGTGTTCATCTTTTTGTGCAGAGAGGAAGGTTGAGCTTCAAGTTTGCCACCTCCTGAGCTGACTACACCTAAGAATTTCATAGTTGATTGGATCTGGCCTTGAATTTATCTGAAATATTATTTGATCCAAGTTCTTTGCATCAATCTGTTTTTATTTTAGCTGTAAAATCAAATATATTCTGAAGGTTGAAGTGTTCATGATTCAAGTGACAGAAAAGCTTCCTTGTCTGTGTATACATCAAAGCAAATTTAGAACCATGAGCTGAAACTTTTTTGTATTTAGAATTATATATGCAATTGGCTTATTCCTACTTATTTTTGTGAACTGGGATTGATTTTGACATGTACCTTCTCCAATTCTTTTATGGATTCAGGAGATATGAATCTTTTTCTTTTTTTCTCACTGGGGCAGTTTGAATAATAAATTAGAATGCATGAAGACAATCCAGTTGGTGAATTCTGGTGTACCAAAAACCTACTTTTATCAAGAACAGTGAAACTTGTTACATCAGTTTGATCAATCCATGTGGACTGGGAATTTCATGTTCATGAATTGTTCCATGAACACACTGAAACCTAATTGTTCCATGAGACAAAGTTAGATGTCGATGTGACAGCAGCTGGTTGCAACTAATGTCAAACATATGCATGTTAGAAGAGAAGGTGTGACCTGCAACTAATTCTCAGCTACTCAATGCCCTCTCCAAGTGTTGTTAGGTAAGCTTCTTTCATTGGATGTCACAACCAAAACATTTTTCTTGCTAATAATGATCTGTATGAGTTTAGGTTTGATGATCCATCTAATCGATACTACTTTTCGAATAAAAATTTTAATGAATGACATAATTATCACAGAAAGCACTAAATGTAAAATTGAAAGAAAACAACTTCTATTATTTTGTAAAATTAAAGTTATGCAACTTGAAACAATATAAATAGAAGCGTGAAACGAAGATTGTTTTTGAACAACACATTGGTGCTCTCGGAAACTCATCTTATTTGAGTACCTCAACTAATAAAAATGAAAGAGATTAAGAAAGATACCGTCGGTGACCGAAGAGCAAAAAAAAAAAAAAGTGTTTTGTTGGATCACTTTAACTAATTAAAATGATAGAGATAGAGAGAAGAAAACAAATATAGAATAGTATATCTTTCTATCCAAACATTTTTTAGCGATTTTTTAGGGAAAAATCTATTTTTTAGGTTTTTCTCGAGAAATATTCTTCGTTTTTAGAATTTTTAACAGTGCCCCTTTTTTATACATAATACATAAAATACTTTTGATTTAATAGATTTTCCTTTTTTTGCCTTTCTTTTTCCATGGATCAATCTATGGGATGAATCGATGTAATTATAATGTTTTCACACTATGTTATAATATTTTAGTAATACTAAGAAAATACTGTAATGCAGTAAAAGAAAATATAACATAATATCCTTATATAAATTTTATAAAAAAATAATTTTACTATATTATTTTTTTTCGGTATTGTTAAAACAAAATAACATAGTATAAAAATAATGTAATCGATTGGATTCACTCTACGAATCAATCCATAGGAAAAGAAAGGAAAGAGAGGGCAAAAGGTTAGGTGGTGTGGGGGTATTCCAAATATTAGATTAAAAAATATTGTTAAACAATTCTAAAAATAAAGATATTTTCCGTCAAAAAAAAAATCAAAATCCACCCAACATTTTATTGCTAATTTATTTATTCATTCTTTTCTCAGGGAAGTCAACAATAATGCTTCTTGATAACTTCACACGGTAGAGATGGAGAGAGTAAAAATCAATATCATAGAGAAAAAAACAGCGTCCTCTCTCTCTCTCTCTCTCTCTTCCTACCTATCTATTAATGCATCTACTGGTCTCAACCAAAACATTGTTCTTTTCCCTGGCTAGCTCGAGGACGAAGCTTCTTTCTGGCGTCTTCCTTTGTCACAGTGGGAGATTGGTCGGTGACGAAACTTTTGACCCTTCTCTTTGCACGATAGACCTGAATGTTCAGTACGATTCGGAGGGTTGTGTCGAGTGAATCTTCTGTTCATCCACATACGGAAGATCTACACCCAAATCTGATAACAATCAACGATTTGGACTTGTCTCCCACAGACATGTAAAGAATATGTGGATTGGCAGAGGCCAACTTTTATCAGATCATGATCAGTGAAATAAGTGATTGCATTCGGCTTAATTGCAATGATCAGATTGGGTTGAGCACAAATATCACATTACTGAACAAAATCTTTAAAGCAGTAGAGTGCACAAACATTCCACCATTAGTTTTCTTTTTTTTGTTGCTTGAAAGTTCAAAAATAAAAATAAAAATGAACATAAGCATGATGAAAAGACAACATATCAAAATTCAGGGATAAGAACAGTATAAATCAGTCTTAAAGAATTGTAATAGTTTCAGTCTGGATCTGATGTTCACAAACATATATTTTATACTTATTAATGAAAAACTAGAAGATATAAACCTTGAGGTTTTCTAACAATCACTATATGGCTATTGCCGAAAGTACAATGATGTGCATGTTCAATTATCAGGTGCTCTCCTGCATGGATGATGTGCTTTTCTGAATCTTTCGGGCAGCAAAGAACTAAAAAGAACTTCAAACAAGTAAAATTTATCACCTAATGGAAATAGGATTCCAAATACTTCGACTCCTGGAGGACGCAAATGTTATAACCACACTTTCTTTTCATGGCTTTAGGTACATTCTCGATTTCAAGCTGCTAGGAAGAATCAAGCTGCAAGATGTCGACACAGTTACAGAGTTGTGTCCATTGGATAAGATCCAAGCACACGAAGGAAGGTCGCGAATTCCTGCACAGGCACATATTACAAAATAAGTACCGCTTGTGTCTTGTATTACATGGTTTAAGTCCAGAGTATCATATGAACCACGATAACTAATACTATTAAGCAATCATGATGTGGCATTAAGCACCTTTTGCTTAGGCATGTCCAATCTAATTACCTTTTTATGAGTACATTGGGATATTAAATATCCAATATTTATGGATAAAAACACAAAATTTAAATTGGTCATGGAATACACTTACGCTAAAAAAGAATCTAGTGGATGTGAAAACTTTAACAATTCTTAGGATGAAGAGAGGATCAGATTGATAAGTCCAAGCGCATGACTCATGCAAGTAGTTGCAGTTATGAACCATCACAAAGGGCGAATACCACATACTGTGCAAGAACTTGTACAACTTGAAATTTCAAAAGTAACATTAACCAACATTTTAGCTCCATGGACACTAAGCAGAAAAAGGACTGTGAAGTAGCAGGTTACTTTTTTCTTAGGTCCTGTCTATAAAAGTCACAAATATGCTTAAGCTACCACATGTCACTCACTAAAAGCTAAAACAACAGTTAATTATTACTCATAAGAAGGATTCCAGATTTTGAACCAAGATGCCTTATCATCTAAGCTTACCAGAGCAAGGTTGAGTTTCAAAACAAAGAGCAAAGAAAAAAAAACTGTCGAAAGGTCAATGGAATAGAAAGAAGCAGTCAGGTCAATTCTCCTTGCAGCCATTTAGGATCATCATATACAGAAATGGAAAACAATGTTGAACAACTTAATAAGAATGACAGATTGACAGTTATAGCATTAGTAAAATCTTGCTTCATAGATATTGAGTAACAACCTAGGTTCCTTAATGTTAGGGCAGTTAAAAAAAGGAGTCAAAGGTACTCCAAAGATTTTGCAGCTGAGATTAACAGGTAGAAACTGTTTCTAGGTCAATATGAGCATCAAAAAGGCAGTTAATTTTTGATACTTGACAGTACAAAAAGTTTGTACCTTGCTGTACATTACATAAAGGTTTTTGTTGCTAATGATCATTTCTCTAAAAATCTTGTTGAACCCTTAACGAGTTTTGCAGGAATTTTTTGAAGTTTGAAGGACGAATATCTCTGTATAAATTAATTGGCAATTAGTGGTACTATTCTCATGATTATATATATATATATATATATATATATATATATGTATGTGTGCATTTGTACATGTATACATACATACATACATACATACATACATACATATATATATATATATATATACATATACATATATATATATATATATATACATATACATATATATATTCCTGATATGAACATTCCTGACAAGTAGTCAAGATCCTGCAGCACAAATAGAAGTTAATAAGCAAGATACTGTTGAATCTTTCTGAAAGTTTCAATATCGAAAGAACATTACATTTCATTATCTAATAAACATTACAATAAAGAGCAATAAACTAACCTGGAGGTTGGACAAAGCACTCTGTGCACGAGGCTCAGCCATGGATGCTTCAAAATCAATATAGAATAGATAATCGAAGTACCTGAAAACAAAAACCATCATTTAAGTAGCATATAGGAGTTAACTCAAAAGAACCAAGCATAAATATCTCTGCAGTGCAAAATTATACTTTGATATTAAGAAATCAAGGTTGCTAATGTGCATCCCATGTTATAATGTGTCGCAATGTGTATGCTAGTTTGCATGGTTCCCATGGGTTATGCAAACCCAATGTTGTTTAGATAGGCCCTTGAGACAGTACTAGACCAAGTGTTGGCATAAGTCAGAAAAATTGGCACATGCAACCTTTGAAAAAATCACAATAAGAATACAAGCAGTATAAAAATGGGCATGCACTTGGATGAAAAGAAATTCAAAAAACTGACATTCTTACTTGGCTGTACCATGGTTCAGGTCATCAACAACCCTAAGAGGGTTATTCCTTTGGGGCCTGCTCTCAATCTAAAGTTGATCAACAAATTATCAATTTGATGAAAAAAATAGTTATTACTGTAAAGGCTGAAAGTTAGATTACTTTATTTAGATACCTTTGTCAAATTTATCTTCCTCAGAGCAAAAACCCCCAGTGCTTTGAATAATACTCCAGGACCTTCTTCAAGAGTGAACACTATGCTAGTCTGAAACAATTAGTGAAAAACTTCCCTTCACATTCTTTTATATAAAATTGCATTAAAACATGGCAGCATGTCAGTATAATACCTTAAAGGGCCTATCAGTCCTGGGAAGTATAGGTTCACGAGCAAGAACAAGACACCTTAAAACATTTTTTGGGACATCCTGTCATTACTACAGATGATCAGAATCTGAGTACTGAAAGCAGACAAAAAAGATTCAAATGCTGCAGTCCTACTATGGTAAAAGGTTTGAGAATCCTTGACTGTCAGAATTACATTCAACGAATAGTTGTCTGTCAATACAACATTTGTCAGAGAACATCATGCACTGATAGCTTCAGTAAACAAATTTGTATCAGTCAAGATTCCTTATGGCCTTATCATGAATGGAACCTCATCAGATGGACTAAATTAAGCTATATGGTATTCTACAGATAAGTCAGTTGTTACATCAGCTTATTTATGTATTTCAACGTATTAAAGTAACTTTTTCATGAAAAATTAGAATTGGTGCATGACCAATGTAAAGATGTTCCAGTGTTTCAACAATTTGATAGTGATTTGTATTATAAACATTCAACATTCTTTTAGTCAATGCCAGTGTCCTGTGTCAAGACAGTTGTTTAAACATGTAAAGCTCCAGGACCGGAACCATGTTTTACCACTTTCTTTGTTCAATGTAAAACAGTCACCATGGTTTTTGGTAGAATATGAAACTCTATGACAGTGATTGAAATGACAATAAGCCACCACGTTTTTTTATCAATATCAAACCTGCTTCACCAGAATTGGCCAAACATGTAAAGCTCCAAGACTGAAACCATGTCAAAGATACAAAAACAGTATGATGGTATATAATTAGTAACTGGAGCACTTATTTAACAGAAAAGAAATTAAATAGATAAAGTTGGGTGAGCAACACACTAAATATTTCTAATGTTAGTTATAAATAATATCATGGTGATTTACTTGGAGCATGCAGCTACAGTGACAACCAAACTTAAAATGAAAAAAAAAAAGTTTAGTTCTATTCCAAATCCCACAAAGCCCATAGAACATGAGAAGCAGCAAATGATCATGATATACTTGAGATATTTTCAAATCTATGCTAACCACAACTGCATTTCAATTTAGACAAAAGGTGTCATGCAAGGAAAAGATCTACCACACTAATATTAATCAGATAAAAACTATTGCCTGCACATTTTCCTCAAGTATATGAAGCCCATAGATGTCTGCAGCTCGGGCACTTGCAATTGCTCCTGCATCCCTTAAACCTTTTAAAGCTATCAGCTGTAAAGAGGTTTAGAATGATCAAACTTTAGCTCTTGAGGCTTAGAAATACAAATTCTATTAGCTACCTGAGCAGCACCAGCAGTGTCATCGACACTTTCTCGAATAACACCCAATTTGCTCAATGCAATTCCACATTGGCCAAGTGCCTGCAGATGATGAAGTTATTGATAAAAACAAAAAATAATTAGTTGTGATAAGTAGATAGATACATAGCTATACATAAACCTGTGGGTGGCTTAATACGCGTTTCAACTCATCCTTCTTCACACCTGGTAAAGCTAAAAGACAGTGGTTGACAGACAACTGCACCTCACCCACAATGTGCAAATTATGGCATAGAAGCAAATCATAATTCCGATGAATGCTTCCATCCATTGAATTCTCAATTGGAAGAACTGCTTTATCGACTAACCAAAGTTCTACAGCCTGTAAATGAAAAAGAATGCTTAAAGATCACATGCTTTGATGTTCGACTGATTAGTCCACCTCAGATGATCTCTTACTGAACCTTGAATGCAACCTCAAACTGTTCACATGGAACAGCTTCACACTGTGGGTATGCTTTCAGGGCAGCGGCCTCGCTGAATGCACCAGGTAAACCCTATTCAGAAGAGCCAAGAAGAATAAACTTTGTTCATGATTACTGCAGGTGATCACCTTTAACATAAAATCATAATATGGTTGTACAACCAAACAGCCTATACCTGATATGCTACACGTACTTTAGATCCTTTCTCAGTAACAGAGAGATCAGTCAATGACAATGGCTCTGCAAATTGAAAGCATTTCATTCACCAGCAGGAAAATACTGCCACAAGTGTAGACCATCTTAAAACTTAAAGTAAGATAAATCTTGTCTTGATTATACCACAAGTTGCAATAAAGACTAAAAAGATCAGACGATAATAACAATCAAAAGAGGGTTGTATAAAAAAGGGTGACCGTTCGCACCATGATAAGGTTGCTCCAATCCACGTGTGAAGGATATGTGTCGTGTGAACAACCTTTGTATGTAGGATTAAGTCTACATATTTGACCCTCCCCAGACCTTAATATTGACTAAAGGCTCATGCATCGACACTCCCAAGCATCATGCAAAGTCAAGTCTGCAAGAACCAGCATGGCTAGTGTGCATAGTTGCTCTTTCCCCATCAGTAGCTCAAGCAAAAGCTAGGTTAAGAATTATAAATATGTTTTACCGCATATAATGTTTTATCTCCATGTTTTATTTTATTCATTGTATGTCTAACTAGAACATCATGGAATGGGGAATGTGTGTGTGTACTTTATTTTAGCATGGTGTGGCTCCATTTTGTTCTGTTAGCACATTACTGTGTGGATAGGGAAACCAAAAGTTCATCAAGCTATGGCATGGAGCATGTCAGCTTTCTAGCTTGGCACATCTGCTGTACCCATGCTGACACATGTTATTTGGCATGCTAATCCTTGATTCGTGGTATTTCCATAAAAAAGAATAGAAAAAAAAAATTATGTTGTCCTCTAGTCTTTATGTAGAGGTAAGACTGGGATGCTTAAGAGTTGAGACATCCTGATAACTGGGATGCTCCTTTTCTCTTCTCTCACTTTTTTAATGGAAGTTGAAGATTTTATCCAAAATTTCAAATCATTAGCAGCTCCATATCAAACACTAACTAGTACCTTCTCTATATCATTAATCATCTTATAGGTGTACTAATGCCCTAAATTTATTTATTGTTTGTTTAGAAAAAACAACTCTCATCTTTGATGCCAGTTTACTGAGTGATCATTAATGAATCTTTAACCTCTACAGAAACCACCTGCCAGTTGGCCTTGTTTCACATGGAGCAAGTCCTAAAACTCTACATTCTTTCTTCAGTAATTTGCTCCTAAACAGTTTTAAATTTCAAGGGTAATTAGGAAAATAAAAATGCAGAAGTTTGTACTGCTTTTCTATGAATATGCCAAGAATATAGACCATAAAGGATCATGGTGACTATAACTACAATAAATCATGTTAGAATCAAGGAAGTCAATGGTCCAGAACAAGAACCTTCCATGCTAGCACTTTCAGCAACAGTTGCAATCTGGGACCATTATGGATCAACTTGAAAAGCACTAATCTACATGAAATGTAAATGAGGTTAAAAAGTTTGAGAATGGTCATCAATCACAACCCCTTCACCCAAGGTATATGAAACTCGGATATGACAGGCAAGAGAATAAGTTATACGTAACAAAAATGATACAGATACGACAAAAGGAAGTTCTGGCTTGACCACCATTTATGGAAACATGAGCTTCTATACATTTCAGATATAGGGGACATACATTGTGTGTATATATATGTGTGTGTGTGTCATTTTAATCTCCATTCAATACCACCGAAAGAGCTTTTTTTTTGTGTCGTTATTATTTGAATACACAGGTTGCCCAAATATTTAATACAGGTTGTCTATCAAACCTTTAGTTTTTTCTTTTAAGAGACCAAGAGATTACCACGCACGGTGCCATAGGCTTCCAGTTTATGTGCATAGTTACTGGTAATGGTGTGCGAATTTCACTATCACTCGCCACATGTGTTGAGTGTGCCAATAGTTAGTTAAAATAAGACCAAAAAAATTATTGGTTGCTATCGTCCAATGCGGCCCCATGTCTAAGTCACCATGGAATTAGATCATGGATGGCCATATATCACAAACTCTACCCAAATGTGAAACTGCCAAGAAGACTACAAATTATGAGACTCCTTTTTTCTATTTAGGTTAGGAAAGAATGAGAGACATTTATCTTTCTATTACTTCTTGATATTCCTACTTATAAATCCAGCCGATTAAACCCTAAAAAGGAAACCTATATAGCATTTGCACTATCCTATTAACCAGTGTTTGTAACACCATTATCTACTTATAAATGTAGTTATTAATTTGCCCATCAAAGCTGAATCTGTCTCTCCAAGAGCTCTTGTACAAAAATAGAGATCATATGTTGAAAAACATTTAAAACAAAAATCAAAACCCATTAAGAACAATAAAATCAGTAGAAACTCTCTTCTTTGTCTAAAACCAAAAACAAAATCTCTTGCCAGAAGGTGTCTTCTTACTACATGAAAACCGTTTCCTAGACACATCCAAAGCAATAAAAACAAAACCAATGTCCTTACCAATAGTCACGCAAATTCACGAGAAAAATCAGAATTTTGTGCCATTATGTTAGAAAAAATGCAATATGACTAATCTGAAGAAACGGAGACAAGTGAGCGGTGGATCGTAAAATCAAAATTTTGTTACGGCACAAGAGATCCATCTAATTTTATCCAAACATCTGATCAGGAAAGTTCTATTTCACTTACTAATGTTCACAGCGATAAAGAAGCCATGACCAAAACAGTAATAATAAATGCTACATCAGGTTTCCAAGTATGTAGACACATTAAAACCATAACCAGACCAAATCGGCAAGATTTAACACCAAGAAAGAAGTTATACTTGGAAGCAAACCCGAATCGCGACCCCATTTTCTCGATTCCTCGACCGCCTGGTCCGCCGACAGCCGAGAAGGCGGCGCCGGCACCGGTGCCGCTGACGGAGACAAGTTGTCATCTTCCACGGGCTTCAGACAGACACCGACACAACGCAATCTCCCGCCCCGCGCCCCCTCCCGTCTCCAATCCGGAGCCGCGAAGTTCGGCAGAGCCCTCCACCCCACATGATGGCGACCGCAACGGGCACCGCCATGACCAGCGGTTGCCGCTGCCAGGGACTGGGAAGCCATCCTCTGTTCCCCAATTCAGAGCCCACGAAGGCCGAATCAGCGCATTTCGGATCAAGAAGTGGGGAAGACAGGGCTTTTTCCACGGTGGAGAAGAGAGTTAGGTGGGATCGTTGGCAGCGGGTAGGTATCAAGAGAAGGGAGCAGGGGAACCAAAAATGGCGTCCTTGGGTGGGACGGAAGACCAGCGACGATATGCGTCGCTCTACGTGTAATTTAGCGGTGAAGTCATTGCTGAGAGTCCATAAAGCCGAGCGGCGACTTTGATCTCTTTACATCAAATCCATTGGGGAAGGATAGGTCACTCCTCAGTAGCAGTTTTTTTGACTCTTTCTCTTTCAGTGTCGTACTCGTCTTAAGGACTTGATCAATGGATATAGATGTGCATGTACGTAGAATGGACGGTAGCTGGCAAATCCGGCAGGGCAGAGTCACCCGCGACGTGTTCCCAGGGTGACGTAGCAGGCCCGGCAAATTTTCCAGGGTGATCCATTTAGCGTCGCATTGGTGGGCTCTAATCGTGGGCCACGACAGCTTCAAATTGTGAGCCAAGTATTTACTCCTGCATCTATCCTTCTCAGTATAAGCTAAGCATATATTATTCCTTCAAATAAATATATATTATAATTGTAAATTAAAAGTTTAATTTACATTAATATGCTTCTTCAACTCAAACAAACTTCTCGTGAAGCACATAATTAATTATATATTTTTTGCTGTAATTAAATAAATATTTTTTTTCCTAATGCTTATTTCGAAGGCAGTGCTAATAATAACTGTTACCGTTAAGTTTAATCATTTATAACCCAATAATGATGATCCATTGTAACTTCAACAAAACAAACTGAGAGACCAAGCTAAACTAATTACTGTTGTAGTGGATTACTAAGACAATTTTAAGACAGACGGATATGATGATGATGATGATGATAATGATGATGATGATGAGAGAGAGATGAGGGAGTGGGTGGTGATGGGGGAAAGCTAAGGGAGGAGGCGAAGGCAGGCGTGTTAAGCTAACAGCACCGAGGGGTGGCGGAGGCGGAGGCGGAGCACCACGTGTGAGGCCACCCGGGGGGTACGCGGACCGATCTCCATGCTTCACCTCTCCCCGCAATTATTCCCTTAATTACTTACTAATTATATATTTAATTAATCCATAACGACATGAAATATAAATATCCCACCCTCCCAATCTGCACATTCATCGACCCACTGCGCCACCGCGTCCGTCTCGGCCACTCACAGTTTCTTACGCCTCTCTGTATCGACTTCTCTTGGGAAGCGGCCCCACCTCCTGCCCTGGACCCCACTCACATACTCGGCTCCGAAACCCACCGCCACCACTCGCTCCCTTCGAATCGCAACGCCACCATCTCCCTTCTTCCACCTCGAGCAATAAAAACATCTCCATCCCCCCTCGTTTCCCTGTCCTGGAGAAGAACCGAGGGAGAGATTTCGTTGTGTTCTTCTCTCCTTTTATCTACAAATTAGAAAAAGGAGAAGAAGCTGTGTTTATGCCTCTCGATTAGCTTTGTTTTGTCTTTTTCGTCGCTTAGTTTATTGTAATTATATTGCGTATATATAAACGACAAGTAGGAGGAGGGGGAGGTTGGTAGTGTATGTGAAAAGGAGAGGGAGAGGGGGAGGAGAAGCGAAGAGAAGGCGAAGCGTAGGAAGAAGAAGGCATGAAGGCCGAGGAAGGAGAAAGAGGAGGGAAGAAGGCGGAAAGGGGGCTGAAGAAGGGGCCGTGGACGCCGGCGGAGGACGCGATCCTGGTGGAGCATGTGAGGCGGCACGGGGAGGGGAACTGGAATGCGGTGCAGCGGCACAGCGGGCTGGCGCGCTGCGGCAAGAGCTGCCGCCTCCGTTGGGCCAACCACCTCCGCCCCAACCTCAAGAAGGGATCCTTCACACCCGACGAGGAGCTCCTCATCCTTCGCCTCCACGCCCAGCTCGGCAATAAATGGGCGCGCATGGCCGCTCAGGTACTTGTCTTCCACCACCACCACCACATCCTTCTCCTCTCCTTCCTGTTACGGTGGCTGTTCTTCTCGTGCAAAATTTGATCTCTTTCTCCTACTCGTTCTTTTTCTCTGATCCTGCCAGCTCCCGGGAAGGACGGACAATGAGATTAAGAACTACTGGAACACCCGCCTCAAGCGCCGGCAGCGCGCCGGCCTTCCCATCTACCCGCCGGAGCTGCAAGAGGCCGTCGGATTCGATCACCAGCTGAAGCAACAGGCTTCGACGTTGCTCCGGACGCCGCCGCCGCTGCCACCTCCGCCTTCCGCCGCGGAGTTCAGCGCCCGGCTCCCCTCCTTGCGGCCCGCCCCGTTGCTGGATCCCGCCATTTTTCGGCCTTCGTCGGGGATGACTCTGCCTCCCCTCCCGCAAAATCTGTTCTCCTGTCACCTCGGTTTTGGATTCCCGCTCTCGCCCGCCTCGCCGCCGCCGACGCCAACCTCTCTTTTTCAGCCGCAGCAGCAGCTTGGGCCGGGAAATTATGAAGTAAGCCGGCCGCAGCGGCTGCCGCCGGTGCCGTGGCCAACGATGGCGAAAATGGAGCTCCCTTCATGCCAATTGTTCCCGGAACCCGTCGGAGGCCGCGACGGTCTTACCAGCAGCGGCCTGCTCGAGGCTCTGCTGCAGGACGCCCATGTCCCCGAGGATATGAAGCTCGGGGAGCTCTTGGCACTGCCAACCGTCGGCGAGCAGGAAGCGGTGTGGGAGCACGTCTTCTTCGGCGGCGATAGCAGCGAAGCCATCAAGGAGACTTCTCAAGGCTGCTCCTTGGGATCCGCCACGAAGTTGGAAGGCTTGGATTGCGACATGGGTGAGTTCTATCGAACTAATCCTCCTGTTTCCGTTCCATGTGTTGGTAGTCTCTGCATTAGAACTACTAATATGAGATAACATGATTGAGACAGAAGCACTGCATCAGAATAGAACTCAGAATCTGTCCACTTAGTTTCATCAAATTTATCTTCCTCCATTAGCAGTAGAATTATATGAGCTAAGTATGAAATTTAGGACTTCTTAGAGTAATTCTTAACACTCTTAAATCTTTCTATCCGTGAGAAGCAGAGATGTATTGTTGTTGTGATTCTTTTCCTCTCCTTTTTCTTATATGAAAACTTGTCTGCAATTTAATCTTTTATTCTTTCGAATTCTGTCGTTTTGGATGCATCTGTGTAGTTTGTTAAAGGGTATGAATAAATGCCAAAATAAAAGAAAAAAAGCGACCCGGCACGCACGAGGTTCTTGCCAATGTAGGATCACAGACAAATCTCTAAAGACCATTTCCACTCCAACCCTCATCATATGTAGTGTAAAATTTGATCCTCTTCATGGGGGCTCCTCAAGCTTTTCTCTGTCAAATCTCTTTTAGAAAGATTCTCTTTTGGGCAGACACGGATGGCATTGTAGTGGGCTGACTGTTTTTTGTTCTCTTCATCAAGCTTTTCCTTCTCAATTTTCTCTCTCCGCATCCCTTGTTTCTAATTCTTCAGTTCTTTCTATGTATCTGACTGAAGCTTTCCTCATGCTTTTGTGTTGATTTCACTAACTCATGAACATCCATTTTGACCACTGCTATTAGAATCTCAAAAGGAATTCAAATTTTACATGGCTAGACTACATTCTCCTCTATATAAATGAGATGTCTGTTCTCATGAGTCTTTCCTTTTTCTTCTATAATTTCTATTCTTCATCTGAAAAAGCTTTGATTGTAAAGTTCTGATTGCATTTTGTGTTCTAACTCATACTATTTGTGCTGCATTACCAATGGCTAGCCCTTCTAGCAGGATCCAAGAATAAGAGTGAACCACGGTGCGATGCCAACACCGAGCAAGACGATATATCTGTACTCCTTGACATCCCGGCACCGCCAGTATCGATGATCCCTGAATGGTGCAATACCGACAGCACAGAGTCACCGGCCATGGTGGGCAACGAAACAGGGCTCGACATACATCAGTTGGCTTCTCCCGTCTCCATCGCATCCTCAGACCATGACTGGAATATCAGTTCATGGCCATGGAACAACATGCCAGGAATCTGTTGAAGACCTACATATTGATGACCATCAGCTTCTAAAGGTCACTCACTTTAGTCTGCTGTATGAGTCCATAGAGAACTTATCTTGAAGGTTTGTAATTAAATGCATTAGACTGCATGCTATGTATGAACGTCTGCCCAGTTGTCATGTTGGAGGGTGAGTAGTATCTCTATGTTCTTTTTCTTTTTCTTCTCCCATTGTGCACTATAACCAGTAGGAACTCCCACCCACTGAATAAGTAATGCATGGGTGATTTGTTCTTAAATCCAATGCACTGTAATTACCATCTTGTGTTGACATCTCTCTTGTTACCTATCACAGTTTTGGCAACCATTTATCATAAGTAGCAAGCATCTTCATTCATGAGTATGACTGAGGAATAGTTCCAATTCTGTGACATCACAGGCTGGGCTTGTTTTAGTTGTGGCTGCAAAGAGGAACCTTGTCAGAATAGTAGGAAGGAATTACTCTACTCACACTAATGGATGGTAAGAGTTAAGTTGATCTGAGTACAGGTGCTGTGGCCCAGATTAATAATAAGCACACAAAATGGTGAGCTGAACATTGAGGGAACACAAGTATTTGGGTGGAATGTTCTATATAAGATCAAAGCTTCTGAGTTAGCAAAGCAAGACAAACCAGCAGCTTAACCTAATCATGGTTCTTCCTATTGTGTGTTCCTAAGTCCCCATCCTGGATGATTGTTGTTGACGGCAATGCATATCTTTAATCTGGAAATCTTTTGCCACCAGCTTCCACTCGGGTTAGGTCACAACTCCAATTATTTTGCCACCTCTTTAACGGAGACCTTTTTTTCCTAGTCAATGAATGACACCTCTTGTACGTCGAGATATATGTCATCTCTCATTGATCATGATCAATGTATGAGTTCATATTTGGTTCATCAGATGTGAATCCCTCAATAGATTTGTGGTGATAAGATTGAGATGCTCATTTGCATAAGATTAATAGTGGGTGACCGTAAAGGGTTCTTGTTGGCGAAGCCGAGTTTTAGTTTGCACGAACATAACACTTCTTCATGCAAAATAAGTGCACTGCACCAATTCTCATTGTTTCATTTAAGTCCATCATATAAGTAACTAATAAGATTATCCATTATCGAAAAAATAGAAACTTAATATGGATACTTGATTAAACAATTCATTAAACACATTCTTTATACTCTAGTAGTTACGTTATTATACATATATTTAATAATATTAATATAATTAGTCGATATATCTTTTTTTTTTTAAACCCATCATAATATATATCTAGGAATCCTATGAGGCTTTCTCTAAGTCAATAATAATCATATGCAAATCCCTTTTTTCTCTCTATACCTTTTTATTAATTATCTTAACACATAAATAACTTCTATGGTTAATTTTTAGGCATAAAACCAAATTAAATTTTAGAAATATTTATTTTAAGTCTTATATGACTCTTTCTCGAAGTTTAATAGTATGACTTATGATTGTAATTTTTTTATAATTTGAATAATATTGTATATTACCTTTATTTTTATAAATTGGTACTAAAAAACTCTTTCGCTATTCATCAAATATACTTTTGAATCTAATAATTTTATTAAATAATTTAGTTAACCAAGTAACCCTATTATCCCTTAAACATTTTCAAACCTTGATAAGAGATACCATCAAGCCCCACACTCTTATTTATTTTTATATTATTTAATATATCTTTTATTTTATTAGCTCTAATTTTATGAATATTATTAAATCTATCACTATTATTTATTATTAAATCTAAGTCATGTGTGGAATATTTATTAAATAATTTATAAAAATAATTTATAAAAATAATTTTTTTTATCTTTGCTTAATCTCGTTATCGGTAATAAGTATTTTTTGATCTTTGTCCTTAATACATCTAATATTATTTAAATCCTTACACTTCGTTTCTTTGGTTTTAGGGATTCTATATATATCTTTTTCACTATCTTTACTATATAATTTTATTACAAAAATTATTATAAGTTTTATAACTTACTTACTAATTATTTTTTAGCATTTTTTAAAATTTTATATATTTTATAGTTTTATCAATATTTAAAACATGATATTTTAATAAAAATTATTTTTTGAACTCCCTCGCACCACTGACTCCCTATTAAGGTTGCACCTTTATCTTTAATTTCACCAAGAATCTTTTTTTTTAAGCTCTTAATCTTATTGACCATCATAGTTTAGATAATATTAATATTACCCTCATCTAAGTTTCAAGTTACCTCAATTTTCATCTTCTTTTTAAAAGTGCTTATATTATCATCTTTAGAATTTCACAATCTAATCTTGATAAAGTTTTATACTATTTTTTTCTTCTTCTATTTTCTATAATAAATATCTAATATCATCAATCTATATTGATATGTCAAACTTTCATCATGTATAATTTTATAATTCTTACAGATAATTTTATCTATTTTCTGGTGAGAAAAAAATCTTTTACTGATCACTTTTATAAGTAATCAAATATTTAACTCTTATAATTATAAGTTCATATAAAGTTATAAAATTTAAAATCATATCATTATCTTTATTTTCTCTCCCCATAAAAATAGAGTAAGTATGCTACTGCGAGGAAGTCTTTATCATTTGCTACTCATGCATGCTTCTCCGATCCGAGGCAAAGGAGTGTACAGGGAGCTATTAATTAGAAAACCAATCTACTAACTAATACCAATTCATCATGTAAATAGACGTAAAAGAGGCCAAGTACGAACCTTAGAGTTTACATCTAGTTATGTGTATGGGGCTACAAATGCCTAAATCTCCTAATCCATATGGGATGCTAAAACGATTCTAGAATAGTGATGGAAAAATGCAGGAATAATTGAAAAACAAATTTCAGTGTGCCAATACTCAAGGAAAAAATCCTCTTATTATTATTATTATTATTATCACTACTACTAAGAGTACTATAACACCATTATCACCATCATTCCCACAATTATTATTATTACTATTATCATCACAAGTTCATCTCCAGAGTTCTTGCAGCCAAATATAACAAGTATAACACACACAATTGCAGCAATGCAACACCAATTAACAAGTAACCAAATGCAACTTGTTTGTGCAAATAATTGAATTTGATGATGCAATCCAACCTCGTTTACAGTAACAGTAAGCACAGCCAACAAAGCATGTCTAAATTAAAACTGCGAAACTATCAAAAACAAAAGACATTTGAATCAAACGAGGGTGGTACCATTTGACTTCCATCGGTGTACCGTGAAGAAATATGCCGTTGGTTGTCACTTGCAGCAACCTAAGCAGGAAATGATAGAGCTGGGAAGCTTTTGGAATTCTGAAACAGGGTCATGATCATTTTAAATCTGCCAAAAGAATGACACGTTTCCCTTGGTTTACGGTGAAATAAACTCAGGCTCTCAGAACAGCTTTGTGAACCATGGTCTCCTTGTGTATCTGGTGGCAGCTCTTCTCGACAAGGTCGAGAAGCTTCTCTAGATTCATTGACCACGAGTTGAGCATGTCATTGCTACCCTTGGCTGTCTGAAAACTGACAATTCCAATAGGCCTGTCGATCTTTGCTACCAGGGCTTTTGAGACTATCATATCTGAAAGATGCTTTTCTGCCTCCTGAAAGAGAGAGAGGGAGCCAGTTTGCTTCAGAACTCTCACCAATTCTACCAAGAAATAGTCATGCAAACTATACCACTAGCAAATTTAGAGCAAGATAAACCGTTTACTAAAACACGATGGGCAGCATTAAGGGCAATAATTGACTGACTTAATCCTTCCCCTTGTCATCAAAGGGCACACCAAAACTTGTGTCCAACAACTTAGATTATACACAAAACAGTGGCACCAAATTGCTTTTCCAAGTGTCCCTTTTTACACTAGAAATAATAAAGTTATAAACAAAGACAAAAAAAGAATTATTGGTAAGGGAGATGAAAATTTAACTAGTTGAGCAGTGGACAAAAGAACTTATAGTGCTTACGCACTTTATTTTCTTTTTTTCTACCTTCCTAATACAAGAAGGGTATGTGAAAATTTTAGAATAACATAAGGCATCATAGTTTAAGGCACAAAGGTGCAAATTTCATCAAACAAAAGCCTGAAATAGGCAAGATTCACCATAGGCAAAGGGTAAATTTATAATTTAACGCATTGTATCCATTTGGCTCTAAATACGTATGTGTATATATATCAACAAAGCTGGAAACCATGACTTTGGCAGAGAAAAAAATTCTACAACAAACAAAAACAAAATTTATTACATCCAGATGAATATTAAGAGGAAGTTGCAGCCCAACAATACAAGGAATAGTATCTAGAAAAAGCCATGACAACAATTAGAGTGAGTCAGTCATTGTTTCTACGAAGATGAAAAGTTGAATTTTGTCAACATAGACAGACGTGCTACATTTATGTGTTTGACATAAAAGGCATCAGATTGAAAATTCTGTAACTCTCATCCCCAATAAGATTTGCAGGTTAGAAACCAATCTTTTAGTAAATCTGTTTGTATAAAGAATAAGTACAATATTCTGAATCACATAGAAGTGACTATCTTGCTTATTGTTCATTGATGGGAACCATTCACTGTGACATGATTAAGCTAATGCCACAATGGGACAGTGTGGAAAGGGTGAGGAAATTTGAGTATGGAGTCCCAAGTTAAGGTGCAGAAGTAAAAAAGGAAAAAAAAAAAGAAGAGGCAGAATAACCTCTATGCTAATCATGCTTATGCAATGATATCACCAATGATAAACTTAAAGGAACAAGAAAAGAAACCTGGGGAATACATTCCTACAAATAATAACATTCAAGAAAGAGAATAGAAACAAAACCTGTAAACTGAGGCATAGAAGATCGGCAAGCCTCTTTAAGGTTATCCTTGAATAATACTTTGATACTACCAATATATTCTGTAAATATGACAAAAGTAACAAATGTTAGTAACAGAAACTATATTGGAAACAAAACATATGGAAATGAATAGTTAGCACAATGTACATGTTCAATGATTCTAAGTTTCAGATCTTCCTCAGCCTCGGTACCCAAAGACCCTCCAAGAAGATTTTTCTCATTTTCAAACTCGACCTTATACATCTCCCAAAGACTTGCCCAATGAATCACCTCCATGGTTACAAGCTGCTTCAACAATAAACTAGGATGCGAGGCAACAACAAAAAATAGCATATGAGACCATAGTAATCAGATAATCCAATAAAAAAAGCTAATAATACATATAGTGGACAAGCATTCAAAACATAATTCATACTGAAAACTAGGAAGCTCAGAAAGATTTTTATCTTCTAAAGTAGAGTTAAGAAGACTTGATTGCATAGGGTCGTGTGGAGACAACACCAAGTACCAGCAAATTTTTCTTAGCACCTGTAAACAGAATACTTCTCAGAATAGCTCCAGTGCAATTCCCATGGGAAAAGAAATGAGTAAAGCAAACATTTACAGGAATCCACTGTGCTGAGTCCTCTTTTACAGAAGGAATGCCGTATATTGCCTTGTAACTACGACATATTTCCAGGTAATCATTGTTATGAGAATGATAGCTGCACCAGGCAAAATAAAAAAGCTAGTTACTAGCCATTCATTCCTCAAGCCAACAAAGAGAGATACTGCAACTAGAACTAAACAGAAATACTCCTGAAAAGTACACCTCATTTCTAATAAAACTTAAGCAATATGCATGCTCAGAACACAATAACCAAATCAGATTGGAGTAAGATGCAAGATGTAAGTTGCTTCCCAAGGGAACACTTTACAGCAGAACTAATCCCCACACCCCCTTCTCTTTTCCTTCTGTCCCTCTTCAAAGAAGACATTGCAAGAGAAAAGAGGGATTTCCACTTTTGTTGGATGCCAAAGATGCCCTACCCCAACTACATAGGCCAAGGGAGTGGGAGCTTTAATGGATTCTACACAAGCAAGACTTGATACATACAACTAATCATTTCTTCACCACTTTATGACTTAATAAGAACTATGATCCCACTTAGTGCCTCGTTTTGGCAGGTGCTACATCTAAATTATTGTACTTTGTGATGGAATGAGAGAGAATAAACTCTAATGATACTAACACTTTATTCAAACAATCAACATTTCCAAGATAATGCAAGAGCCAGAGGAACACAACCCATGTCATGGGCCTCGGAGAACAAGAAATGACCCTCCTCTTTTTATCCCTTGTGTTTATTACCAAAGGAATTTAGTTGAGCTGTAATAAAATGTAAATTAAGTCACACGCAAAGAACTGGTGATAGTAAAGCCAGTAAATAGAACAAGATAATGACAAAAGGGTGAATCTTACAGATGACGGGAAGAACCTTGATAGCCTAAGGCAACATATATTTTCACTGAGTGAACTATTACAGATACATTGCATTAATAAGGGCAACAACTAAGTTGACTAAATTAAAAACTCTGATACACCAGTCTGTACCACTTGGACAAAAGAAACTCTAAATGACCCTCAATTAAGTCCCAGACCTCGAATGATTATTGTCCATTGCAGTTATAATTAGTCGATCCAAAACTACAGAAAGAAAATGTGGGCATTAAAAATAATCAAAATAGATTATTCACATAGACTGATTAGGTATACCCACTGCACTTAGATCACAAGACTGACATATTGAATAAAAATATTCTGCTGGGTCCAGAAAAGGCAGTTGAGTGATGAAAGGCTCCTGCTTAACTATACATGAGGAGAGACAATGTCCATGATTTGAAACCATGACACCAAAGACAATAGGGAAACATTGCTGTTGGGCAAAGGTGTGCCATCTTACAAGTGCTCAAGGTTATAGACATGAAGGAAAATTGAATTTGCAAAGTATGCATATTTATTGCAGTCACATTATTGCTTTGAAGCACAACTTGATTTTACTCTTAAAAACTGCAATCTTCAGATGAAGATAAATTGTTTATACCAGATGGCTTTGGTATAACAACGAATTTAGCAAGTAAACGAATATACCGAATCATTAGTTCATAATAAATGCGCTTCAACTCCAAGAGTGAAGGTATATCTGCAGGAGCCTCTTCAACAACATTATCACCTTCCTTTGGCTTCTTTTTACCCTTTGAAGCATCTGCATCGAATACCCGAGGACTAATTTTTCTTGACAAAATTTGTGCCCGTACATAATCCTGACGGTCTAAGCACAAGCGCACCTGGATTTGTTTGTTTTGAGTGCATGTCAGCATTGATACATAATATTTATGTCAATAATTGGTAACGAGTAACTGGAGGAAAGGTTATCGCAGCCTCATACTTGATCAAGAATGAAAGCGATTTTTTCAGTCTTTGCCATGGCTCCAAAAGTCTCCACCTGTAAATTATGCAACAAAGAATGACATTAACAAAAGGGTAAAACAAAACAGATAAATTGAAAAACAGCAGTTTTAAGACTCATAACTACTCAGAAGCAACATATTCCTAGTATAACCTAAGGCTTCATATCATTCTTGCAACCTAGGGATACAAAATCTAAGTCACAACTTACAGCAATTTCTTGCATCAAATCAGCAGCCTCAGATATAAGGCCTTGTTCTTCTTTAATCTCTGCAAGTTTTTTAATTAAACGTGCCCGCTCTATCTCGACATAAATCTGCAAAAGGTTCCATTAGATAGTTTTTAATACAAGTAAAGAACGGTCGCCTCTAGCTCCAACATGATGTGTCATTCACCTTCCCAGCAGAAACATTGTTCAGGGTCTTGATTAACTCAATGCGAGTTTCAATATCAGGTGTATCATCAATGTACTGCATTGCTTTTTGCACCACAGCAGTCACAGCCTGCACAAGAGAATGGTAAGAGAAGATATGAAAAACCAACAAAAGGTAGTGAAAGTTCTGAATAAGTATACCAAATAAGTTGAAATCTAAATCACTAAAATCAAGGATCCAACATTCCTCTATGACAAATGCCTTTGTGTTTACATGGCATGCAGCTATTGAACAAGAAGATTAGCCAGAGCAAACATAAAAGGAACGAAAAAAAGAAAGAAGAAATTTACCTGCTTAAGCTGTCCTCTTCTCTTCGAGAGAAGAACAATCTGATCATTCAGAGTCTTCCATGCACGTGCTTTGTAGCAAAGCTCCACAATGTCAATAACAGCTTTCTTTGTTCCAGCCACATCACCAGCAAGCCTCATTTGCTTCTCCACATTCAATAGAGAATCTACAGAAGCATCTAGATTCTCTTCCTGCATCAAACAAATTTTACATCAGAAATCATGATGAGGGAGGCTGAGAACAAGCCATACTAATGACTTTGCATCAATCGCATAGACTAGGGGAAAAGTCACAGTTCTGTTGGATAAGAGTATTTCGATCGACATCTATGAATAATTTCACTGTCGGGCTAAATTCTTCGACATATTATAAGCATTAAAATAAACAATATCAGTTCTGAAAGCAAGATATTACTGGATTTCTTCTCATGCAAGAAACTACTAATCCAAATTTCCTTCTTTTCTTAAAAGAAACATAGCTAAGCCCTCCTCCAGACAAGTTCAAATTAAACACCAGTCATTGGATCATGAGGAACAAGAAACACAATTTCCACCATACAAGATCCAAAGAGACCACCATAAGAGGGTAAAATCATTCCTAACTTCACCGATAAAAAGATACGAACACTATCCCGAGATCAGCCAAACGATTAAGAAGAAGAAGTCGAACAGAAACACGGAGAGCAATCGAGTCATCAAAAATCAAGATCGACGGCTCTGAGAAACAAAAGCAAAGAAGAGAAAAATAAATGGGGCTCCGATCTTTAGCCAAAACATGGATCGACGGGAACGACGGATGGCAATGGAATCGGGATCTCGAGATCAAAGAGAAGCTCACCATCTTGGAAGCGACTCGGAGCCCCAGCGGACAGAGCACAAGGGAAAGGCGTGACCATTCGCTAAAAGAGTTGCGGGTGGTTTCGGTCGGATCCAGTACGGATCTACAGAAACAGATCCGAATCCGAAATTTTCAAAAAGCCATATCATTGCGCATCCAAAAGAGCCCTTAACAAAATATTTTTCGTACATGTGTTTCCTACTCGACAGATATATCTGTCTTCTTATTGGACGAGGAGAAGGCCCCACGGATTCTTTCAGTCACAAAGTTTCACTAACTGGTTTTGGGCCCCACTGATCCTCATCTACCCACGAAACAAAAGGAAAGTTGCAGCTGGGGATGTCATCGGTGGACTACATTGGGTCCCATGGGTCTCATCCAATAATAAATCAGGTGGTTTGTGGGCTGCTTCGCGAAAGGTCCTCCCTCAAAACCCAGCCGGAGGAGCTCGACGGTGTGGCCTTGCCACTAAAGCAGTTATAGCTGCCGCCCTGAGTCTGAAGTGACACGACCTTCGACAACTCCAAACCAAATCCCCATCTTTAATTAATAGAATTTTTGTCTCTACGATAAATCCTAATTCTTTTCGCAAATAATGGGTTAGTTTAAACTCATTCTTCTGATGATGATGTAGGTTTCATTCTCATTGAAATAGATATCGAATTATAAGAGATATATATATATATATTTATTTATTTATTTAGAAGACCACATCAAATGAGGGAATAGCCGTTGAGGGGATGGGGCTGCGGATGTTAACCATGCTACATCATCATGAGTAATTGACGATGTTAAACAGCGCGACTTATTGAGGTCCCATGCTCGATCGTCATGACTAACCAACGTTGTTAAATGGCATTACTGGTGCGGCCATCAACGCTTTGGTCACGCAAAGGTACCGAAGAGGAGGGTAGATCTATTTCCGCCACCTCAAGAAAGCCTCTCATCCCTCTTTCGCCTCTCTCCTCTTTCCCTTTGATTGCGTTGTTCTACCGTCCGTTGTGTCCATTTCTAGGGTTCCTTTTGGACTCGGATTTCACCCTTCGCTTCGAATTGAAGCGAAAAGGGGCAGGTGGGCTTCGGGTGCCGTAAAAAATTGGGTTTTTTGACAGCGAGCAGCGAAGTTTATTTGCGGGGGTCGTTCGATCCCAAGATGTCTGATCCCGCAGCCATGTTGGCCGCCATTGAAGCCCGATTCAGCTCCCTGGAGCTCATCGGGAGGGGATCCTTCGGCGATGTCTTCAGAGGGTAAGTGCCGGATCCATTTCGTGGCTTTGGAATCCTTAACTTTTTGGTTCCTTGATGTTGATTATTGTGCCGGCGTTGTTAATTTGGTGAAAAGGGACTTCTTTTTAGTGAGATTTTTTGGATGGTCGCTAGGTGTTGTGTGTTTTAACTGGTTAAGGCTAATGAGTTATTTACGGAAGAAGATGCGTTATGGTGAATACGTGAAAACGCAAAATGTGGCCTTTGGTTGTATCCGTTCAGACTTTGGTATACATGGCAGCTTGAACTATACAGTGTTTCAGCGACTAATGGAGTCGTTGAATGCCTCTTTATAATTATTATTTGCAATGTCTGCCTGTTCATCAGTTTTTCCAGAGGCATCAATGTTCGTGAGTGATGTATGGAGAGTATGGTGGTCTCACTTGATTCTTTCCCCCATCCTTTTATATGTTTTTGGTTGCTGGACCTAGGGTTGATAATAACTAGTAAAAGACTCTAGAGACTTTCTATTGTTATATTGCTCATGTGAAGGACTTCAATGACTTTTTATTGGCTTTGTCAACAACAACAACAAGCTGTGATGTCGCATCTATTTAGGATCATCTAGATGGATCTTTACTTGCCTTTGAGATTTGTGCAAGACAACATATCTAATAAAATCAAGACCAATCGTATCTCTTTTTATGTTTTTTTAAAAAATCTTCTTAGGTTTCCTATACCTTATTTGTACCCTTGATACCAATCTTGTCACTATATCCTTTGAATATGTTTATACCATCTTAGACAATTTATCCTCATTTTATTCTCCATTGGGGCTACATCTAATTGTTCGCAAATGTATTGTTTTTACCTTTCCTAGTAATTCTGCACATTTACCTCAACACTCTCATCTCAGTTATACAAAACTTTTTGTATTTGTTATTTCTTAACCGTTCTATACTTTGATCCATAAAATATGATTGAAACAACAAGTATCTTCTAAAATTTTTCTTTAATCAGAGAAATACTGAGTGATCATATAAAAACTTGATGCCCCTCTTCACTTATTCTATCCAACCTTTTCTCCTTCTAGTGGCTTATTTCTCTTACAAATTTTTTGATTACAACGAATACTAGTAAACTATTGTTTTGTTGTATCAAGTTATTTATATGCTTCTGTACTGTTATGTTTTATTATTCTACTTTTACAACTCTGATTATGTCCCAAACCTTTACTTCCTGTTGGTTTTCCTGACATCTGCATCATGATCATGCATTAGTAATATCAAGCCTAAACAACTCTGACAATTTGCTAGTTTTGCAGGTTTGACAAGGAGCTAAACAAAGAGGTTGCAATCAAAGTCATTGACTTGGAGGAAGCGTGAGTTCCTTATTTAGAGTTTTTCATGAATCTCTTAATTTATGTGTTCATTGTAACATTGTATTTGTCCGCATCTTGTATGCAACTAATGCAAAATTGCAAAGCATTGAACTTTAGGCTGGATTCTTCATGCTGACTATACAATGTTGTTTTCATGATATAGGCTGTTAGCACATTCCTATTAGCTTTTCTCTCTTTCTAATGGTCCACAACCATGCAGCTCAAAATTTTGATTCAGGACTGAAAGCCCAGTTTTTGTTTAATATGTAGTATTAGCACAAAGCTCTGCCAGAAAAAGTCAAGGGCTACTATTAATGCCCTATATAGTATTTAAACTTCTGTAACGTGAACGAGCAGTAGCAGTATGCTAGAAGTCTTATAGCATTATCACCATATATATGGCAGGCAATGGATACATGACTCTAGCCGAATTCATGTATTGTTTGGAATTGTCAACATTGTTAATGTGTTACGACAGCTTTATATTACTGAAAAGTTTACTAATTGAACCCGATGGTGTATATTTATCTAACGATAAAGAAATTAGTAGAAGGTAATTTTAGTGAGAAAAAGAATAAAACGAGTGAATTCTTTTGGGGTCTTAAAATTTTAAATAGAATTGTGGTGTAAAGTCTCACAATGATCTGTCAATGTGCGCCTCTCCTGCTTGTAATTTGTAATTTGTGCATAGAACATTTTGTAATTTGTGCTTTGACAACTGAATATTACATATCAAGAGTGTAAAATTATTTTCAATGATGATACCAGTTACCAAATTTGCCTTCATCCTTTAAGAACCCTAGATTGTTTTGATTTTGTGGGAGAGGATTGGTGATGACCGCTTCAGTCAGGCACTAATAAGTTACAATCTTAATGACAGCATCAGTCAGGCACTAATAAGTTATGATCTCTTTGTGAGGATTTAAGACAATTCTTCTCTCGAGAATAATATTGTGGGTGGCTAGATCTGTGTGTTAAAGGCTGAACTAGTGGCAGAGATGTGGAATCCATCACGTACAGGGATGACACAACTTAAAAGCTAGTATGATGCTCGTAAAAATACTACCGAATAAAGCAGTGGCAACAAGGTGACAGACAATCTGAAAGGATTGATGCTTAAAAAACAAAACAACCTATCTATTATTGGTGATAGTACAGTATTTGAATTACATAGTATATGCTGCATCTAGTTATTTGCATTTTCTGCATCTGGCCAAAGACATGCCAAACAGATGTAGAAGTTGGTGATGGTCTACTCTAGGTTCCAGTTCATGCTTTCCTGTTACCCTGGTTCTTGTCAGGTTTGACCTGGTCATCTCCATGAAATTTTTGAATATTATGGTCAAGTGAGGATTGATCTTGATTCTTGCTAAACATCATCAGCGACTGATCAGCTGCCATGTACGTTAGGATTTTAGTTAGAGATCACTTCCTTTAAGAGTCTAGATTTTGTTTTCTTTTTTAAAAGATGATGTGAACTATTGATACAGTAAAACTCAATTAACCACTTAATATCTCTTGTGGTTTTCTACATATGCCATTTGCTTCCTTGTGTAGAACTTGCCTCTAATTTAAAAAACTGAAACTCTCTTTAATTAAGCACCATGAGACTGAATTATATTAATTGCATCCCGAGTAATGATATGAATTATGAATCTTTATTGAGCATAACCGCAAAAAACAAAGGCCCGCTTAACATCATGATCAATTTCATCCCTGTTCAAAGTTTATTTTGTCACACTCTTTGTCTTTGATGTAAATTTAATATGTTGATTTAACTTGTTGAATCGTTGGGCTAAGTCATGGCACATCATGTTTTAAAACTTAAGAGTACTCCAGCTGACCTTGCCAATTGCTCACATTGACTATGTCATGACATGGTTCTTTTGGAGCTTTACCATTATTTGAAACAGAATTAGGATGGATTGAGGTATGGTCTCTATTTGGTTGTTAAATTGATGTGTTTCTCAAGTTACTCATCTGGAATTAGCAAACACATCATTGTTACACCATGTTATACATACATACATATCTTTATATAAATAAATCTTTTTTATGCTTATTCTGATGCTTTGTATATGTATTCTTCTTCTTTTGTAGTGAAGATGACATCGAAGATATTCAGAAGGTTTGTTATGATCTTGACAGCTTTTCTATTAATCAAATGTTAATCACCATTATTTTCTAATAGAAAACCTTTTTTCCTTCCAGGAAATTTCAGTTTTGTCCCAGTGTAGATCTCCATATATTACTGACTATTATGGATCCTATCTCCATCAAACCAAATTGTGGATAGTTATGGAATACATGGCTGGTGGTTCTGTTGCTGATCTGGTAAGTTCAGTTCAATCACTTCAACTTAGCTTAGCTTATAATATTTGTCATAGTTTCTAGATCTGCAACCAGTTAGGATGTGTTTGCTTATAAAATGAAAAAAGAACTTAATGATAATTAAAACTGTATCATGTGACTTATAAAAATTAACATCAAATCATTTCATATGATCCTGCATATGCCATTACAGAAAAATTCATCACATCTTGTGCATTTTGTCTTATGTTGATCAATGAATTTACGATGACCAGGTTCAGACCCATTGTATTGCTACGTTACTGTTCTACACCTTTTTTTTTCTTCTCCTGATACTCTTCAGATTTGCTGATATTGATCACACTTCATGAGTTACCTGGTCTTTCCTCAGATCTTGCTAACATTTTCCATGGTTCTCTTAAACCTTTTGATATCCGGCCTTCGTGCAATTTCAGACCATCACCTGTTGTTAGCTGTAACTTTGGCCTTGCACACCATCCTAAGCCTCCCAATGTTTGCCAAGTCTGAAGCCCCATCTTTACAATGCTAATACATGGCTTTTTCTTGTGAGATGCCTAAGGAGGAGTTGCTATTAATGGCTAATTGATGACTATTTTTTGTAGATTGTGATGAATTGGCACAAGCCTTCCTTTTCCTTGTCACTATAGGTCTCAAAGTGGACTATGGTCCTGAATGTGCTATTTTAAGTTGTCTGACCCTTATCTTCACTACGTTTTGTCTCTTTGTATATTTGGTTTATTTTATTTGTATATTTTGCAAGAGAATATTTACTAAACTTTTATGTTGCTTTTCATAAAAGATTTTGAGCTTCTCTGTTCCTTTATTGCTCCCATGTTTAGTGGAGTCCACCATCTTAGTTGGTCAATTCCCCTTCATTAGGTTTCAATTCTTTTTCTACTTTATGAAAATTGCTGCATGGATTGTTGAAGGATTTGATAGTGCCAAGAAGAGAAAAACATTTTGTATACGTATTTATGGAGAAATCAGATACAGATTATATATGACATACCAAATCCAACTGATTAGCCTCTTTGATTAGGTCTTTCGTGGTGTGGCACTTTACGGATGCTATCAACTCCTTACAAAAGATCCTTAATGGTTGGAAACTTGGAATAAATTGTAATTGAACTATTTAATATTTGGATGATCATACTGATATTTTCTTCCCAATTACATGTTCAATCATGGAATAATCTAGAGCCTGGTCCCAATTTTTTTCAGGCTGTTTTTTTTATTGAGGTCCTTAATATCAAAATTTATCTTTCGCTTGCCTTAGGTTGTGTGAAGCAACTACAATGTTATGCGAAACCCATCTGAGAAAAATTCCATCTCAACCAATCTTTCTTGCATGGGTAGATTAAATTGATTCCTTAGAGATGCTTGATTGGTTGATCTTTAACTAATTGACATATCTTGAAGTCTATACAGCGTAGGTGAAGCTTCTTCATTTCTCATGTTTGAGCAAGTGCTAATCCTTTTGCCTTGTAGCATAGCATCTCTGATCTATGTTCTAACATGTCTCGTCTGCCCTTATCATGAATTTTTAGCTCACAACAAATAGCACTGTATTTGATATATGCAAATTTGAGAAACATTCAAGAACCAAGTCATATCAGCTTTTGATGATGCTTCTCCTCCTTTCAGTCTTTGAGGAAGCTCCACATTACAATCGGGTCTTGTGCAAACATTATTTCAGTTGAATAATTCCATGGGATTGGTTGATAAAAATTCAAGCTAATGAATGCTTCCTTATGCATGGAAAGATTAACCTCAAAGTCTCCCTTCATGACCTGACCCTTGGAGAGGGTAAATATAAAATGTGGTTACAAGACAATGATTGCAGCATCAATTCTTTCATGTCATTGCCGACGGGGGGATAATTTCACTGTTAGGCTTCTCACGGGTAGCTTTACCTTTCTCGATCAATCTATATATTTGGAATTTCATTCATAACTACAATTTGTCTGCCTATCACCCTCCAAGCACTAAATGGCCTTTCTTTCTTATGTCTATATTTTCATTACTAACTCGAAGCAGGCTTGACTTTAATAGACATTGAAAGTGGACCATGTATAATTAATATTTTATAAGCAGCAAATTTTATCATTTGATTTTCCATAGGCAGTTCAGAGATTACTTTTACTTAAAATTTCTGGTTGGTAGTTCTATAAACAAATAATTGAAATACATTTTCTCCATTACTTTCATGGTAACCACTTGCATGTTACAACATTCTTCCAGACCAATGCACCAATTGCAGTTCTTGCATATCACCAAGTTGGTAACAGAAAAGTGGCCTTTCTATTGACCGCACTTGGGAGCTGGCTGGCTGTTATATTGGTCCAGTTGCTCTGATTCGACTCATTTGCAGCATCTGGGCCCATCTGGAATCTATATTTCTTAGTCCCATTTCAAATGTTGTATAGGTGGACTAGATAACTCCACTTGCTGCAACTGACACATAAACAACTTGATTGTGCTTAGGCCAAAAGGGAATACATTTCACTATTCTTGTGCAAATTAAATGGTGTTACTGTCACAGAGACAGGGGAACACAAGAATTAATAACACTAGGAGGAGCCTGGTGAAAAGAGGTGGCAAAGAGCTGCAATAGCTCTGCTCTATGGAGATTGACAGTATTGGTGGCTCATTTGATGCAGTGATTTAAATAGATGCTCGAGTGAGGCGAGGCAAGGTGAGGCTCAAGCGCCTTGCACAGAAGCTGGGTGACGTGCTTCAGTAAAGCGTTCCCTGGGCTCTCGCTTGAACTTAGGCGCTGGGTGCCTTGTGCGAGCGCCCAGTTGAAGGTGTGCATTCAAATCAGATGGTCAACTCTAGTATGATTGAACAATACCTAGTTGGTTCGATTGAACCAACTAAACATTATAGTAAAACCACCTCGCCCTCACGCGAGACCCCCGTACCCTACTTCGCTGCCCCAACTCACCTCTGGTCCCACCAAAGGTAGCTGCTGTCGATGCCTGCGCTCCCTTCATCACTGCTTTTTTCATGCGCAACTCCCTCTATCGCCTAATTTTCGTGTGTAGCTCCCTTCGCCATCAAGGGATAGGTCTGCAACTTTCTCCGTTTCTACTGTCGCCGTCTGCAGGTTCCTCCGCCATCATTGCCATCGTTCGAAGGTTCCTCCATCGCGATCGCCCTTTCCTTTCCCACCTTTCACCATTTGTGACTCCTCTTCCCCTCCCCCCCACTCTCTCTCTCTCTTACTGTGCACTATTATAACTATTGTTAATAGGGGATTGTTAATCCTTTGAATTGATGATTAAAACTATTTTACCATATATTTATATTATATATTTTTATATTTTATATTATATTTATTTTATATTTTAAAATTATATTATATATTTTAATATTTTAATATTCTAGAGAGCCTCGCTTTGCCCGAGCGGGTGCCTAGGTGAGCACCTAGCGCCTAAGGCGTTTTGGGCCTTTGGTGCCTTTTGTCACCTATCGCCTTTAAAAACACTGATTTGATATTAGTATTTGTTATATTCTACTTCCAAATATTCTAGGCTCGCTTCTATAGAGGCACTGGATGCAGGTTAAAGGAGCTAAGTGGTGATGGATGGCTGAGTAGTTTCTTTGAGATTCGACAGATTTTAGCAAAGGAGGTTGAAACATTGACATAGCATTCTAATTATCTGCCTTTGATGTTTTCAAAATTATGAATTTTCATTCTTTAAACATACCATATGTTTTGTATATCTAACCTCAACAGAACAGTTCCAACTGGTTCTTCACAGTTATATATGTCCAACTTTCCATTTACCTTACTGGTTCTTCCTATGCAGCTTTAATGACAAGGTGAAAATTGTGCTAACAAGAACTACTTTCCCATAGTTGTTTCCGCCATATCTGAAGTTGCTTAGAACCTTTACTTTGCTTGTAATTCTGTTAACTATATGCCTTAGTTCATTTAAAATTCTTATCCACTGTGTTTCTTGTACCATGCTATTGTGTTGAGTTAGACAATTAGTTTTTATGAATTTCCACAAAACCAAATCTGTTTTCTGCATCTGAGAGTGATCGTCTATCTCTAAATTTTATGCATGGGTGAAAATTAGGGAAAATCCTGACAAAGTTAAGATTTTTTCATAACATTTCTTAGATACTTAGTCCTGATTACTTTTGTTTTTGTAGCTTCAAACTGGTCCTCCTTTGGATGAAATGTCTATTTCATGCATTCTTCGTGACTTGCTGCATGCAGTTGAGTACCTTCACAATGAAGGAAAGATTCACCGGGATATAAAAGGTCATTCTTTTTTCCCGATTATGACCTGCTTCCATTGCTTATGTATATGTACTGATATCTTGTTTGTGCGACTTTGAAATATTGCTTAGGTTTCATACTATGGTTATTTTTTGCCCCTTCAGCATGTTTTATCTGCTTCTAAGAGACATTGAACATACAACTTAATCTAATTTAATATTTTTCAGCTGCCAACATTTTGCTAACTGAAAAAGGAGATGTTAAGGTTAGCAGATACTTACTCTATTGTTGACACATAAAGATTGGAGGAATATAATTGACATTCGATGCCATTGTATGTAATATGTGTTTATATTGTAGGTTGCAGATTTTGGTGTTTCTGCACAATTGACAAAAACAATGTCAAGAAGGAAGGTATTTCCTTAACAATTATTGAAGCCTTTATAGCTAGGGTTTTACTTATACTTCATGAAATTATCTTGCACTAGGTGCTTTAAAAATTAGTAAATACCAAGGTTTGCCGTACCATGGCATACCGCTCGGTACGGGCGGTATGTATCGGTCCGACAGGGGATCGGTATGAGAGTTACATTAGTATACCCTCATGTACCATGTGTCAGTACACTCATTACAGCTTGGTACAGCTTAGCATGTGTTATACTGATACTTGATCGGTACACTGGTATGGACCAGTAAAGCAAACCGTGGTAAATACTGTTTGTATCCCAGATCCAAGAGTGTATTCATGTTTCATAGTTTAGCATGTTAAGTGGTCTGATGCTAACTAGTAACCACTTTATATATACTTTTGGCTTGCTTCAGTAATTGAAAAATTCAGTTATGTTAATCTGATGTTTCCCTTTGGCCAAAAAAAAAAAAATGTAGTGAGGTTTCGTCATGAAAGTTTAAGATGGGAGTGCCATATGTTAAGTAATTTTCAACATGGAGTGTTTCAGTGCTTAGGATGTATGATGCATAAAAATGCTGATAGGGAGAGTTGGACATCTTGCAGATTTAACAAGTGCAAACAACAATCATTTTCTAAATTCAAGTCAAGATCAATTTCTGCTGATCTTTCTGGTTTGGCATGGTAGATCTCTTCTTGTCAAGCACTTAAGCAGTATTGCACTAATCATAATTGATTAGTGGTTGTAGTCTTATAAAAAAAATCATTTTTCTTACTTAAATCAAGGATTGTCATTTTTTGCACACCATTGTACCTGCATCGTGTTGCCATGGTAGATGCCATCCAGCCCACCCAGGCACAGTAGTCATGCCAGTTGGCATGGTCTATAACTACCTAGAAGTAATTAGGTAGGCACATGCACATACCGGTACCATGCTCATGCAGGTACCCTGTGAGGGTAGTATGTGATGACCTGCATGGGGTGGTAGTATTGAGCAGTAGTAGTCACATATTTTGCAAGGGCTTGCCTGACAATTGCACATAAGGTTTGTATAGTTGTTTTGAAGGACTACACACTTTGTAAGTGAGTATAACATTGAATTTATGAACTTTAAGAACATGCAATTTACACAATGTGTCCTAAATATATGTCATAAACTGTAAAGGCCACAAATTATTTCTAAAGTCAAGTGCACAAGGCTCCTGCCTGTGAAGTTTGGAGGATCAGATGTGCAACAGCCTTAGTTCCAATAACCAGAAAGGTTGTATCACTATGTGAACCGTGCTACATTGGAAATGTTACCATTCCGCAAGGCTCACCTTGTAATTGGTAGGTACATAATGTAGAATTTAATTCTGTTCGCTTGCTACTTGATTTTTTTCCTTTTTGAAGCATTTGCATTGTTTCTGATGCTTTATTGCACTTGGTCTTATTAATCTTCAAGCCTGTTTAGCTTACTTCAGAAATTAGATGAGATTTTATTTACTGACAAGTTTGGACTGTTTCAGACATTTGTTGGAACTCCATTTTGGATGGCCCCTGAGGTCATTCAGAATTCTGAAGGATATAATGAAAAGGTATTATGCAGAAATTTTACTACAAACTGTTGTACTAATGTTTACATTCTAATGACTCTACTTGGATAAATCTTATTGCTGATGCAGGCAGATATTTGGTCTTTAGGTATTACTGCTATAGAAATGGCAAAAGGTGAACCACCTTTGGCCGATATCCATCCAATGAGGGTTCTTTTTATGATTCCGCGAGAAAATCCTCCTCAGGTTTGGTTTTGTCTTTTCTTTTGAAAAAGTCTGTATTCAAACCCAACTTATTTTTTTTAGTATGGAATGTAGGGATATTTTTTCTAAATGGTAAATGAAGCTTATTTGTGATTAAAAAATAGTAACTATTATTATATTTGATGCAGCTCGATGAGCATTTCTCTCGACCTATGAAAGAATTTGTATCTTTGTGTTTAAGAAAAAGTCCTGCTGAGGTAAACACTCTTCAAAATAGTTTTTCTTTTCCCTTTTTGGTTTTTACTTAAAATAAATACACAATAAGTAATTCCTTGGTAAAAGAAAAATAAGTAGAATGGCAATATAGATACTTATTTTTCTTTTCTTTGCAATTGTTTCTTTATTCTCCTTAGAGTTGCAATTAAGGGATCCAGACAGAGTTATGCTGACTGTATGAAGAAGCACTACTTTTTTTAGCTTTTACTTGTGCTATTCAGATATTCCAAGTGCATTTCTGACAATCTCCACCTGTTTGATTACTATACTTCCTATATGTATCTCATACCATCTGATTAAAACTGCATTTTGCGGATGCTTACGCACCATTTTGGATGGAGTTTCAAAAACCTTGAATAAGGTAAGCTACTAAACAGGGACTTTCCTATAGCCTAAGCAAACTTCAGAGATAAAGAACTATACTGTAGTTAGGTTGTGTAGAAGTCTTTATTGGGAGCAAAAGACTGAATGTAGTTAAACTACAAGTTGATTGATGATATGAGAGTTTTACTAGCCCCTTGTCACGTAAATAGCACGAAATTTCAATGTGAAGTAGCATGCAGCCCTTAACGATGACAAGAAGATAATAGCCACTACTCCATGTACTAGTCCGGTACCTAGTAAGAAGGTCCTTAACTATGTTCCTTGGATGTCAATTTGATATGTCGGTCCTGGTCTGGTACAGACTTGAAATGGTGTTAGCATCTGATCAGTTTCAAGCAGCATGACTCCACATTTTGTTCCTATAGCTTCTTTTTCCTTGATGTGATATCTTCTTCTCAATTCTAATTAGATAAGGTAGTAAAAATGATTGTTGTGTTTGACTTTCTAATGTTTGCCTGGTGCATATGTGGTGTTCATATATTATTGTTTTAATGTCAATGCTAATGTTGTTTAAAAAATATGAATCAAATCCTGTTTTGATCCTGTTATTTCCATGTATTTTAACTCTAATTGGTTCACAAGTTTAATGATATAGATTGCTAGGTAGTGTTATTTATCTTGTTGCTACTCCAACTTATCTTTTATCTTCTGTCTTGTGGAGTAAATTGTCTTGTCAATGGTCCAACATAATGGTGTTTTTACTGTTTTTTCTCTCGTCACCTGTCTGGGAATTGTGATTTCCCTTCTTGCTGTAACCCTTAATAATTGGATAAATTTGACTCAGCAAGTAACTCATTCTTCTCTATGAAGCTAGATATTATACACATGTTAAGTCAGCATATAAATTTAATGTTTTTAACATCTGGACTTCAGAGATCTAGTGCGAAGGAGCTCCTTAGACATCGTTTTATCAGAAATGCCAGGAGAAGTCCAAGGCTTTTGGAGAGAATAAGGTCTTTTCATTAATGCAATTTGTATTTTGCTACAATTGCAATTACTTTCTTCTTTTAAAATTCTAACAAACTATGTTGGCTTGTTTGAATATACTTGGACTTTAAATGTTTTATGCATTTATCACAGTTCATAGTTTGCATTCACATGGCAGAGAGAAGCCAAAGTTTATTGCTAAAGAAGGCATGGAAACCCAGCAGCATCTCCAAAATACCTATGACGATGCAACAAGAACCACCAAGGTGATGAAGGATGGAAACCAAGTTTCTTATTCCAGGTATGTTTTTGTCAACTATATGTAACTTGCATATCCTCTGGACTTCATCTTTGACTTACTTCGATTTCACCACAGTCAAAGCAAGGTCCAGAGTAATCCTAGCTGGGAGAGTGGCATGGGTGGATTACAGGGTACTGGGACTGTCCGTAGTGCTGTGAAACCAAGTAACCAAGTATCCCAGAGCACTGGCACTGTGCGTGCACCAGGACCAAACATGGATGGGTCACAAAGTACAGGGACTATTCGTAGTGCTGTAAGATTGCCTCAAGGTGATTTGGCAAGAGAGAGAAATTCTGATGTTCTATATAGTTCTAACCCAACAAACAAGGTGGCAGACAGAGAAAGTCAGTGGACATCTGCATTGGAAAGTACATTTGATGGATCAACATCGAAAATTTCAGTTAAGAAGGAAGCAGAAAGTGGAGAAGATGATAAAGCACTGCAAAGTCCTCTGGAAGATGTAGGTTTTCATCCTTTAATTTTGTGATTCATAAGGTATAATAACAAGGCTATAAAGTCCCAACTATTTGGATTTGCTACATGGATCTTTTGTCACCATTGGGATCTGAAAAGTCATATCTTTATGTTAAGAATATTTAAATCTTTATTTAGAATTTTTCTTAAAAGTCTTTTTAGATCTTCCTCTACCTCATACTACTAATTGTAATCATGTCATCTCTTGTAAATTCTAACTATTGCATTTGTAGAAGTCTCTTGATCACATGTCGATAGCATCTTAAATGATTATCCTCATCTTAACATTTCTTTCCTATCTTTTCTACACACTCCACACACCTAATTCTGATTCATAAATCCCATAAGATATTTTGAATCCAAAGATATAGATTAATTTTGGTCGTCTTCTGTCAATATCAGTATGGCTCTAAGAGTCTAAAAATACAACTTAATTTTCAGGATTATCTTTCGTCAAGTGGATCAGGTACTGTTGTCTTACACTCTCCAAGAGAAATTTTGAAGCATGCAGCATTCAATCAAAATGTTAAGGTAAAATGAGTATTAGTTTTTGGGATGAGTACAGGATATTTTTCTGGTGTCAGTAACTCAGATCTTATGTTATTGCAATCTCCTACATTTCAGCCTCTCGGCAAGAACTCTTCATCTGAAGATGTGTCTATCAGTGGTACAGTAGTCCTCCATGGCAAAAATGACGAATCTGATACTCCCCGTGCTTCAAAATCTAGGTTGGGAATGCTAGAGAAGGCATCCAGCTTATCCACTGAAGATAGTGCTGCAAACCTTGAACAGGTTCCTTATATCGAAAGAACACATGTGTATCGACATCTGATGAATTATTTTGTTGCTAATCCTTTACTTCATGCAAACGATTGGACACTGCAGGCAAAAGCTGCATTACAAGGGGGACTGAGAAAAGGAAATGCTCGTGAAAGACCACCAGTGAGCAAACAAAGTAAAGATTATCTTGAAAACAAAATGACTGAACGGACAACTACCTCAGTCTCCTCTAGGTTGGTATACTTTCTGGCTTTCGATGCTTGGGGATGTTCTCTTCATCTGGTTTTCTCTTCTAAGAATGATGTTGATTTTTCTTTTTCCTTGGAAATCCTAGTGAGAATGTTGGCTTTCAGAAAATGCTGAACAAGTCAAATCAGTTAAGTGATGAGCTAACTCAATCCAGAGCTGCTGCAGCAGCAGCTTCTCCTGTATTGTCATCATTGATAATTCCTTCACTAAAGGAGGTAGTGCTTATTGGCTAGAAGTATTCATCTAGATTTATGTCTTCTAATTATTTCACAACACCTATTGCTTTTGTGGCTATTTATCTGTTGTTCATTTTGATACTTTGATCATGATTGTATAAAACCTTGATAATCATAATGAAGATAAGTGCTGCAACTAGTCATATTGGCAAAAAGAACTCACAATCTTTTCAGAACCACAATGATTCTCTGTATTAGATTTGTGGTAATCTTGTGTTGGTGAATTGGATAACTCAACTTTTAGAATATTTTAGCTATCTTTTATTCCGGAGATCTTACTATTTGTCTTCCTTTCCAGTTCATGACAAGTATACATCCTTGTGAATTTTGAGTTATATGCCTTGATATGTTTTGAAAAGCAGGACAATATATGCTATCTTATTTTGTCAAGGGACAGATCTCTCTAACTGATTACCTTTTGCATACTACATTTAAGATGGCACTATTTTGGCATGTGATACTTATGATAGCTGATGGATTGTCAATGATTTTACCCTTTAAATTCATTTTTCTACGTTGATGGAGAAATTTAAATTCTCTATGTTGATAAATTAACTACGAATATTACTTTCTGAAATGGGAACAACTGCTCGTGCATGTTGGTGACTGTAGCAACTCTGAGAAACTGTGAGTGCCCTAGAAGTGCCTGTCATAAAAAATTCCTTAGTGATCACAGAGTTGCTTGTGTCATGCCCAGTAGAATATTGCAGCAGTGGCAGGCACATCACATGACTTATCTGATAACCAACACAGAACAGTTCATGCTGGAATTGAATTTCATAATGCTACACATATTTGTTCCTAATTGGTTTTGTGCTTAAGATTTGTAAAGTATCTTCAAATCCTTGTGTGAATCCTTAATCCTGAATTAAAATGGACTCTTTTTCTGTTTCTATTATCACTCAACTGAATCATGTAGTAGATTTTTTTTCATGTTAGTTCATTTTTATAATACAATATACAGATGAAAATAAACTAAAACTATCGAGCATTATATGTAGGCTGCATCATCAAAACAAAGCACAGTCAAATCTCTTTTTATTGTTTTTATTTATTTATTTTAGATCTTCTACCTCTGCTCACAGTACTAATCCTGATACTCATCATTTGATCAAGGCATCTAAGATCTCCTTTAAATATGTTATCTTTATGAGGTCTACGCTTTGTTGTTCGCTATTGAAAACATTTGTTATTCTTTCTATTCCAATAACTCCACACATTCATCCCAATATTCTTATCTTGGCTACACCAATTTTCTGTACATGTTTTTTTTATTATTATGTAATGCTATGATCCATGGTGTAGTTGACCTTATAACTGTCAATTAAATATTTCATTTTAATTTAAATGAAAACATGATATCACAAAGAACTAATACATCTCTTCATTTTAACTACATTGATAATAGATCCAAGATTCTTAGAACTTTTTTTTGGGGAACTTGTCCATCCATTTTAACTGCACTCCTATACCTTTCCTAATATTAGTTGGTAAAGATGGCATTCATATATTCAGATTTTGGTCTTAACATCTTTGATTTCAAATGTTTGTTTCCACAATGTTTGTTAAGCTTTCATCAATCAAAATTATGATAATTTGCTCTTTTTTATTGTCATAAATGAGGCATAGTTGTATATGCAGTCAATTGAATCAAGGCCCGAATTAATGCAATATTCGTTAGGGTAGTAACTTCTTCCATGCCCTTGACTATATTGAATTAGGTCTAAGGGATCATAAGCTTTTTTATCTTTTTCATGTATACAATCTGTAAAATTGATTATCTGTACATTTAACTGCAGTGGTTGCTGAAAATATTTTCATGCATAAAGGGAAGTATGTTCACTCTAGCACATAATGAAGTAAAATTTAGAGAAAATTTGATGCAGTTGAGTGCATGGACATTCATATCCAATCTATAATAGCGTGTCTAAACATGACAGGATATATGATCCATGTGTGTAAGAGCTCATGTACTGTTGGTAACACTGATGAGTTGAATTCTCTCTCATGTTTTGAGCCACTTTGTACAATCTACTTGTCAAATTGACACACCAACTTAAAATCACTCAACAGTTCTGTTGGTACTGCCAAGGATGTTTTCCAGTGAAAGTTGTCTCTTCGCCTAGCAATTTCTTTTATTTGTATCGAGATTCTTTCCAAATATACTACTACTACTACTGCTACTACTATTATTATTATTTTGCAAGTTCCAAATCTATTATTTGGTGATAGAGCTGATGGTGCATATTTTGTTCTTCACTCCAAACATGCCCAACCCCTGTAGATTCTTATTCTTTTATTTCTGGTAGGCCACTGGCGACATGTCTGAAGGAGCAGCAGTTACAGCAGTGATGGAATCATTGATGGATTTGGAGCACCAGGTGCCTGGCACTTGTGAAGCTCTTATTGTTAAGCTTCTTCGGCAACTGCAGAGGTCCCTTCCTTTGATCTTCTGCCTGCATTATGCAATTTTCCCAGTTGTACATTCTATGCCGAAAAATGAACGTTCAACTTTGTTGTACAGTTCAAAGGAGCTTCCGTTGAAAAGAGTTCATGACTTGGCTGTCAGCATTTTCTCAGAGAAAACTGAGGCATCCCAGGAATCAGCTGACGGGAAAAAGCAACCACATGCACCAACGCCTGAGACACCCGGATTAAGCCCACTTGCGAGATTTCTTCTTTCGAGGTTTGTCATTCTTCAGGTCTTGTGTTGTCAATTTAAATATAATCAGATCCAAATCCTGGATTATTTGGTGCAGATGGCAGAGCCATGTTTCACAGGAACTCAACTCATGAAGGGTGCTGCAGAAATGCTGATAACAGGGTTTGCATTTTTCCCTTCTCATCATTAAAATGTATAATTAATTTTGACTGTAAATATTGATTTGTCTACCAATTTGTCTTTTTTTTTCGGGTTCTGGCAGCAGCTCTTTTTTTTTTAAATGTTGTTAATTGTGTTTCACACTATTTCTTGTGTTCTTTGTTTGTGTCGAAAACACACCCAAGACAAGATTAATTCCTGCTTGTAACTCTTTTATCAGTCATCATTTGCTCTTCTCTAATTCAACCTTAAGCTTTTGCTTCTTTATATCTCCAAAACATAACCACTTTAGATTTATTTATTTTTTTGAGTGTTTCTGTTACTAATTCCCTTTTCGATGACATACTGTTGAAGGCATCGATTTAATATTCCAGTTTCTTATATGATTCATAGGAAATATATATTCCAGGAAATAGGATAGAAACCAATCAAAATAAAGAGTCATAAGAAATGTGTGTTAATGATTTCATATATTTTCTATTACTCAAATTATGCAGTTCATCATGAACACCAATTATTCATCAGTCATTTCTGAATTAGATTCTCATCTGTGAAAACCCTTCCATTTTTACCACAGCAACTATTGATTGATTTGGGTGTGATGTTGTTTCCCCACCCTGTTCATTTACATCTCCAGTCAAGCACTAAACATAAAATAACTGGGATTTATGTATCTGGTTGTCAGGTATTCTACACAGTTCAATGCATAGTCACCATAAATAATTTTAAGCTAAGCATCATAATACACTGACAAGATGTTAAGCACAAGTAGATGCACTTCTCCAAGATTAAGATGAACTCTTCAAGGATTAAAATACAAATGAGAAGTGAAAATAAACACACTTCAACAAAGTTAATCCATAATGATATCGCAACAAGCAGATGATAGCTGCACAGTTGCTAGATTTCCATGCCACATAGAAAGTGACCGATAGGCCACGTCTGACCCATATAGCATGACAGAAGAGAGAGAGCATGCTTTCATGGGAAGCACGACATCTCATTTGATCTGGAAATGCTTGTGCGTGGAATTGCCCGAGTCACTCATCTGCATCCTCCCATCTTCGTCTGGCTGCCTGAAGCGGCTCAAGCCGTCTCCCTGGCTGTCGGAAGAACTCTTTCTCCGGCGCTCGTTGTGGCCAGCCAAACGCCTACGACAGCTCCTCTTGGAGTCGTCGAACTCCGATACCTCATGGAATCTGCATTCGTAGAGTCAGGGACGTGTAACCATACTTGGAACGCAAAGCAGAGGAGGAAGGAACACGGGAGGACCTGCTACATTGCTGACAGAACCTCTGCCGCAGACCGGCGACGATGACGACGGCGGCCTTGGAGTGCGCCTCGCAGACTCTATGCCGCCGGTGGTACCGCTTCGCCTCCGCCAGGTCCGCGGCGCACTTCTCGGCCTGGCAGCACGGCGGCGACACGCCTCCGCCGCTGCCGCTACTCGATCCCCTCTTCGTCGCCACGGACGAGGAGGGCCTCCGCTTCTTGTCCTTCTCCGCCGCTTCTCCCCCGGGAGCCACCTCCTCGTCTTCCTCGCCCCCGTCGTCGTGCACGGCAGCCCCCGCCATCTCGTTCCGCACCTTCTTTCTGCTCTTGCTCTGCGGCTTACTCGACAGGCGTCGGGGTTCCATAATTGGTCTGGAGTGTGAGCGTGCAAGGAGGAACGAGAATAGACGCAGAGGGAAGAGACGAAAGGGAGAAAAGGGAAGGGGATGAGAGAGAGAGAGAGAGAGAGTCAAGGATTCTGTTGTCTTTGTGTTGCAGCTGTGTCTTCTGCAGCAGAAGACATGGCAGCTGTGCTCATGCACACAGAACACTGTCGCATCGCTGTGCTAATGCTGAGACCATCGATACTCGACTCTTGTTCTACCAGAAGAACCAAAGTAGATCCACCAACTCACAACTTCTCTTGAATCAAACTAAAAGCAGAGTCTGCAACCAACCCCGTCGTCCACGCTACATAACTCGGTGATAAACAAGGCTCCGGTGGGTGGGTGAGACATGACAGGGACGACTCGACGGCACGGCACTGTACCATTCGACTGCACCCGTCGCCATTCCACGCTTAGCACACGGCCCGCCTCGTCTCTTTCGTCCCTCTTCGCATCGTACACATATAATTGCTCTGTTGTTACTCGTGAAATTTTCTACGCAAGAGTCTCCACATAGCTCGATCTTTAAAGGTTTTCTTCACAGGTTAACCACGATTTACCCTTTGTCTCTTTCTGCGTAATCTCTGCAGTTAAGCCACCATAGGAGGGGGAAGACGGAGAGTAAAGACCGCCAACACTGGACGATCCCGGTGGAGCAGAGCAGACTCCACCGTCGCGTCCTCTGTTTCTGTGACTTGTTCTTTTCTCTTCTGTACCGCCCGGCTTTATAATAACGCTAGCGACAGCCGGCTGACAGCTGCATGACACGTGATCCGAGGGAACACCGGAGAGGACGATGATGAGAGAGAGAGAGAGAGGGTGGACTCAACCCAAATGAACAGGAAAAGGACGAGATTTACTCGGCTTGCGCGGCAGAGGGGACCCGTGACGACGTGCTCGTCACCGGAAGCATCTCCTGCAGTGGAGGCGAGAGAGATTCCTACCACCTTCGCCGTTGAATAAATTAGGCTTTTTTAACGTACTTTAATTCTTTATAGCTTGGGTTTTCATTTTCTATAGTTGCACAAATATCACTCCTCGTCGTCCAACGCTCGTCGCCTCCGCCCCGCTTTCGTCATGCGAGGCTTCCCCTCCCTCCTTCCTCCCTTGCATGGCCCAATGTATCACATCCTACTCAAATTGCTCTACACCTTGATCGAGCAGCTAAGAGGGGTAGAAGTGGCGGGCGAACATGAGCGAGCAAAAATAGTGGAGAGTAAGGGGCGAGGGACGAAAGTGATGGAGAGAGAAAGGCCAGTGGCGGAAGTGACAGGGCAAAAGCGGGGTGACGATGAGGGATATTTATGAGATTTACGAAAATAAGAGTATCATTTAAATAAAAATAAAAACAATGGTACCTTACGAGATAAGTCCAAAATAGAAAAGCTCTCGATGAATTGATGTATATATAATACATAATTTTTCATCTATATAATATATATATATATATATAATAGATGAAAAATTATTTCTTAATATGATAGAATTTACGTGATCGACACAGTGACTCCATGAGTCGATGTGTTAGTCTCATTAGATCGACATATCTGGGAGAGATGATAGAAGTGATGTTTCCATTATTTGAGGGTGTTTGAGTTGATTTTATTGTCCGTTCGCCTGTTTCACTCTCGAGACACAACAAAGGTAGCAGGGCACGTTGTGCCATCACAAATACTTTAGGACGCATGACACGATCCACGTATAATTTGTCAACAAGCGATAAATGCATTGCCAGGATCATCGCGAAGATTATGTCGAATCTACCATAATCTTTATCAGGGGTGCGAAGTGAATGCACCATGTCGATTTGTCAATAAGTAGGTATGACACATACCTACTTGTCAAATCACACTTTTGTTGGTTTGCTTACACTTTTCTGCAAAAGGAAGAGATGTCTACGACATACATTCATGCTTGATCATGTTAGTTAGTGTGTTCTCCGTTGGTCTCTGCCACGTCCATTTGTGTTGATTGGTGCATTCTCCATTGTTCTTCGTCGATCTCAACCATGCTTGATCATGTTAGTTAAGTGTTCACCATCGATCTCTGCCATGCTCGGCCATATCAATCATTGTGTTCTCTATCATTTCTCCATGGGTCTTCGCCAAGCGTGTTAGTTGGTGCGTTCTCCATCGGTCTCTGCGATGCCTGATTGTGTCACCAGGTGCGTTCTCTATCATTCTCCGTCGATCCCTACCACATCTGGTCATGTTGATTGGTGCATTCTCCATCGGTCTTCGTCATGCTTAAACATGTTAGTCAATACATTCTCAGTCGTTCTCTGCCGGTCTTTGCCATGACCAACAATGTTGGCCTAGCACACCCTCTACCTCTGATGTTGCACCTGATCACCCCAAAATAAATAATTTATCTTGAAACCCTCATGCTCACACCGAAATAAAAAAAAAATTATGACTTATTAGATAATGCACAAGGTAGGATTCTGAGTGGACGATTCCTTTGATGCATGAAGACAAACAATGTCTTATCAACAAAAAAATATATATTATACGAGTTTAATAATATGCTCTTTAAGAAAAAAAAAATTTATTATATTTAAATCCTTCATTAAACTAATCAGCTAATAAGTTAATTAAGAAAACTCTATTGACAATTGACATAGAAACAGTTAATATCAAAAAATTTATAAAAAGAAATTCATCAAATATTTGAATTGGGTCGTGAATAATACCAAAATGGCCGATGCCTAGAAATAGAGGTCATTATGCCCATCACTATTTCAACGTCTTATCCTATAAATTTTTAATAAAGAGAATGGAATAAATAAAGCAAGGATGAAGTCATGAAGGTTGAGGTGTGATCACTAGTTCGATCGAGAGTCGATAGATAGCTTTGACTCCATCGATAGAGACATCAAATCTTGAAAAGATAAAAAGACGACGAATCTAAGGTTTTCATAGTAAGAACGAGACAACAAGAAGAACGATAAAGAATTCATTATGGCTAAGTGATAGATGATGATGATGATGATGATGATGATGAGTATTTACAATGTTATACAAAATATGGAGGATCATATAAAAAATAAAAATAAGATATTTTTCGATAAAAAAAATTCAGAAAAATTCACCTTAATTATATTTATAAAAACAGAGTTCTCCCACCAGTTTCCGTCAACCCTCACCCATCTTGTCTTGGCTTCGGAGTTTCAGTAAGATCTCTATGGGCCCCCACTGACATGTACTCAAATCGGGTGCGACCGGCAGGTGTCGAAAAGGTTCTGCTCTTTCAAGAAACAAAATCAAAACCGTTATCAGATACGATCTCTCTTCTCTCTCTCTCTCTCTCTCTCTCTCTCTCTCTCTCTAAAGCAGCAGCCATAGCTCGTCGTTTTCTCCTCCACCTGCTCGTCCCCGTCTTCGTCTTCCAGAGAGAGGAAGGACCAAATGCCCGCTCAAAATCACCCGCTTCCTCCATCGGATCACCAACTCCGCCTTACGCCCCGCCTCCACCTCCGGCGGTTGTTGGCCGCTAAGCAGAAGCAGAGAAGCAGGAGCATGGTGGTGGCGGAGAAGCGGACGAGGGGAAGGAGCCGACGGAAGTTCCTCACTAACAGGATGGTCCGTGAAAACAGATAAAGATTTCCTCAACTGCATGACGAAATCTCGTAGGATAGTTGAGGAAATCTTTATCTGTTATCAAGTCCGGACGAAGGCAGCAATCGCGTTTCATGTCTCTCTTCGTTTCGTTCCTCGTAGCGATTCTCTATTCGTCATCCGCTGTTGGTCGCGTTCTCTCTTTTCCATGTTTCATCTGCAGATCCTGATGGCCGAGAAACAAGAGTATGTCGCTCTTCCCTTCTCTTGCCCAATGCAGAAGCAATAGCATTCATTATCATCTATGGATTTAGTGCAGCTGTGACATGACTTGTTAGTCCTTTATCTACTATTTAGATGCTTTACTTCTTCCATTTGTCCGTGAATTGGAACATACATCTCATCTCCAGCGCGCATATGTCGAACAAGCATAGGTGCTGGAAACAGTGAGACGGCTACAATTGCTGTCTCTGTGACATCGAAGCTCGATGCCTTTCTTGCAGTGCCAAGTGTTCTGCTGCTGGCTTTTGGCCATGAATTATAGGCAACCTTCTTTAGCAAAAGTACCATATCCATATGGAGTCTTGGAATCAGCTCAAGAAGTTTTATCAGGTAGATTTGACTAAAAATTCTACATGTTGTTGATGTAATAGATGAAATTTGTACTTTTAATCCGTGGTTTTGTGAACTTATAGGATACCAATTTGTTGGGGTCTTAACAGGTTGTGGTTACACCACTTGGCAGCATGAGCTATTTTAGGGTGAGCTGAAGAACTCATTTACACTCTTAATATGTATTTTTAATAGATTACGAAATTGACATGCCATTTTCACTTCCTTTCAGATTCAAGTTGGCTTTCTATGCGAAGGTGAGAATCTCCTGCAATACACATGGTAAATAAATATGGGATAGTGGTATTTACTCCACCTTATGCTGTCAAATGCTCACTTATATCTTTTGATGTCAAAATTATGTCTCATGATCCGTGAAATCTTATAGAAAACTCAAATTATCTTATAAGGATTGCATAAATATATTAGAATTAAGTTAGATTTGAATATCTTGAGTCACATGGTCCAAAACCTATCAAGTTAATGAGTTATTTTATCAAAACAGATCATGACAAATGATGTTAGAGTTAGATTACTCCTAGCATTATCAAGACTTAGAACAGATGAACGGGGAGCACAATTTTGAGCACCATTTACATTTGCATTGGCCTGTTGGACAAGGTAAATTAGGAAAAACTGTCACTCCATATCCTCTCTTCTCCCATATGAAGTATATAGCCTCTAAAAACCATCAATTAATGTGATATCTGGATCTGATTAGAGATAGTCGTGGAATGGTTTATGATTCATTATTTACTGCAAAAACTAAGAACTTGCCTTTTTTTTTTTCAGTCCATTAGCTATCATATGGTTTCAAGACTAATTATAAATAACTCTATGTAATTTGTTATCTTTAGCATCATAATTTCTCTACTCTAAAAAATTATATTAATTTTATTTCTTTTCACATCGTCGACTCTACTGGTAAAAATATCGCATGTATTCATTGGTAAATTGAAGTGAGGTAGAATCAATACATACTCAATGGTAAATATTATAATATTTCTGTCAACAAAATTGTGAGAAAAAACGAGATTAAATGTTTCACTTTCATAAATATAGAATCTTAATGTAATTTTTGAAATTACAATGATGATTGACTCTTTGATAGGAGTTGGGCCAACGTATCTTGTTGGCTTGGGTTGAAGCTGAAGTGGCGAACTGAGTCTACCTTAAAAAGGTTTCTTTGTTACCAACGTGGTCGCACTAATTCCTCTTCTTTTTTTTCTCTGAAATGCTTTCCATACCTATAAATTGTTCTTTGTCACACAATTCTCCCTTTAATATATCTGCTCATTTAGTGGGATCTTTTGGTTGTCTCTTTCCAGATGTACACTGCTTTCTTTTTCCCCTTGTCTTCCGAAATTGCCACGGGAGTCAACCCACCCCGCTCGGCGTGAATGCAGGTAATCAATGCACCCGCATTCCCAAGTCAACGCTGCTCCAATATGTTATGCCCCCACCATTTCTCATACCCTTTGCATCTTTTGACCCCCGTGATTGCCGACGACTGACCGCCCACTACCTGCAATACCGCTCCTCTCCGGCCATCACATCGTTCTTTTATGCCATGCTTCCCATCTCAACTTCTTCTCCAGAGAATCTACACTGCGATCGTCTGACCCCACTCTAATTACTGCACATGAATGCTTGATGTCTGGCCGAGCAGCTCTTGCCTTTACTTTGGTAAAGGTAGGACCTGTTTCAGCTGTAATTGAGAGAGGGGGCGAGTTCTTCAAGGACTGGGAGAAAGGGGAGGTACCAGTATGCTGCTGAGATCTTTCATTCACCACAAGTTTCTTGTCTGCACCATTCTGTCAGTCATTTCTCTCCGGAATGCAGCTGCTCAGCATGAGGGTAGGCTTCTTGAATAATCATCATCGTCCTCTGCTTTTCCATCTTTTCCCGATTATAGAGATGAGGTAATTTGGACAGAGCAGCTCCCCTGCTCCATTAACTTCCAAATCAAGAGGATGTCTTTCCCAATCTGGCCTTCACAAGATCCATCTTGTCTTGTGCTCCTTTTTTTTCTGTTTTCTTTCCCTCGTTATCAGGTTTCCTTTTTCGGCCTTCTCTTGGTTTCGATTGTTTGTCTCCCTCTTCCTTGGATGGTTTGTTTCTTTTTCTCAGCAAGGTTGCTATGAGTCCTTATTTTGTTTCTCTGAGATTGTTTTGTAGGTCTCGTTATTCACCTGCGTCAATGTCACTTGAATGTGCCGCAATTAATCTTTAGATTGTGCCATTAGGATTTTCGTTGGTCAATCAAACTTTGTGTTTGAATACGATGTATTACACCATTTGTCAAGTGATTATGAATTCCAAAATTATGTTTCATTGGGTTGTCATCTTTTTGCTAACATCATGATTGATTGCAAGATACTAGTATTACCATTAGAAATTCTTAAAAAATATATAGTTGACTTTTATTTTATTTCATATTAGGTCTCTTTATGATAACACCATCACTGTCGACCTTAAGCTCAGATAAAAAATATGAAGGGGTGCATTATGTAACTGACAACCAGCATTAAATTATGTTAAATCTCATGAACATAAATTTTAATCGATTTTAATATAGAAAACATCGAATAATTGAGTTTTATGATTTTATTATCATTATTGTTGTTGTTATATCTGTAATGTTTGAGCTTACATGTTTCTAGGAGAACCATATGCAATGCGCATAAGCTGCGGGGCTCCAAAGGATGTTACTACTAAGCCTACCAATACCCTATGGAAAAAAGACTTTGGATATACGGGTGGAAAACAGGCAAATGCAACAATCCCCAGTTTCATTGAACCTCAACTGAAAACACTTCGATATTTCCCTCTGTCTGATGGCCCGGAGAATTGCTACGACATTACTGACATTCCTCGAGGACACTATGAAGTGAGGCTATTTTTTGCACTCATTGCTGATCCTAATTTTGATAATGAACCAATGTTTGATATCTCTATAGAGGGAACTCAAATTCACTCTTTGAAGTCTGGTTGGAGCAACAATGACGAGCAGTCTTTTGTGGAAGCCTTGGTATTTGTTACCAACGCATCTTTCACTGCTTGTTTCCATAGCACTGGTCATGGTGATCCATCCATTCTTTCAATTGAAATCCTTCAAGTCGATGACACTGCATATTATTCTGGACCACTGTGGGGTAAGGGGACAGTGCTTAGAACAGCCAAAAGATTGACATGTGGTACTGGGAAGTCTGCATTTGATGAAGACTATGGTGGCAGTCACTGGGGTGGAGACAGATTCTGGTTAGCTATTTCATACTTTCAAGACTCTGGTCATTCCATATCAACAGAACATAGTATCAGTATGACATCAATTTCGCCAAACTTCTATCCGGAGAAGCTTTATCAGTCTGCAATTGTGGGCAGTGATCTACAGCCCGATTTATCATTCGAAATGGAGGTGGAGCCGAACAGAAATTATTCTGTGTGGCTTCATTTCTCTGAGATTGACCCAAGAATAACTGGTGAAGGGGAAAGAACCTTTGACATATCACTAAATGGCGATATTGCATTTGAAAACATCAACATTATTGGCATGACAGGAGGAAGCAATGCAGCTCTTGTGCTGAACACGACTGTCGAAGTAAGTGGGAAGGCCTTAACAATCGTTTTGCGTGGCACAAATGGAAGTCATGCGATCATAAATGCAATTGAGGTGTTTGAGGTTATTTCAGTAGAGTCCAAAACTTCAGCAGATGACGGTAAGTATGCTCCAACTTATTTCACAACTAAATTTCCTTGATAATTTTTATGTTTCGAGTGCTATTTCTGTTTTCACTTAAGCCATCAATTGTTGTTTCTCAACCAAGAGTGTTATGGATATGTTGAATCATGACTAGGGAGCTAAGACTAGAAAAAGAACAGTTGATTGGCCATGGATACCCTTTCTTCTTCTCTCTAGGTTAATTCCTCCTTACTCTCTTAGATTGCAGTCTTTTGTTTCCTCATACTTTATATTCTCTTTGATTGCTGAAAAGGACTGGCCAACTTCATTATGCTTACACCTACTAGCAAATGGCTGTTTTCATGAGACCAACCATGCTCATCCAGGATACATAGGATTTCCATGTTGCAATGCAAAGGGTCAACTTTTTAACCATTGTCAGTGGAAGACTACTACTGTTCACAAATGTTAGAGAAATATGGCATGTTATCCCACCACAGCTAGCAAAGAGTTTATACATCATTTTCTTGTGGCAACTATGCTAATTTGGTTTAGGTATTTGTGTGATATAAGTTGCTCACATGCAATTTGTTACTGTTAAGAACAGCAACCTATTTGGCTAAAAGTTTGCTTCTGCATATTTCCAAGTGAATAGCTGATGATATTTCACTTTGCCAGAAAGTGTACATGTTTTTCATAATATTATATCTCCAAATGCCCTTTTGCAGTCGGTACTCTGCAAATTCTAAAGAGCTCTCTGGGACTTCCACGTCGTTTGGGCTGGAATGGTGATCCATGTGTTCCTCAGCAACATCCTTGGAGTGGAGTTGACTGCCAATTTGACAGCAAGAGTGGCAATTGGGTCATAGATGGATTGTACTATCTCAAACTTGCATTTATTTATATGTAGCTTTACATTATGTTTTCTCTTTTGCTTAAGTTAGAAGTTACCGTACTGACTCCTAAGGAGGGTTAAAAAATTAGATCTCTTTAATATTTTAATTCGTAGACTTAAAAAATTTATATTAAAATTTTTATAGTTATAAAAATAAAATATTTAACTATCTTTATCCTAACGCCATTGATAATATGCAATTAGCCCCTCTTAAAGATTCCCTACTCATTGACTTACTTGAGAACAAAAAGACAAGGACTAACATTTCTTGTCAAGCGCAAAACCTGTTAGCTATCATCCCTTGTGATCACTTGTGTATTGCAAAAAATGTCACTCTAATTCACTGCCACTTGTGACTTAAATATTCTAATGTATTTGGGCTTGGCTACATGAAATTCTCAGACCATTAAATTCTGATTAGGGAAATTTCACTAGGCAAACAAATGTGTGAGGGGTGTACTAGATACGTAAACTTGCAACCTCATGCTATTTGAGAATGTCTATATCTTGTATGAAATGTCAAATAGAGGTTCTTGCTTGTCACACAATTATTAGAGTTGATGTGAAATGCCTAATTCAAAATGTGTAAGACTTGTCCAACCATATCTTATTTATGTGCTAGTATGTGTATATAAGTCTTGACAGTTGAAATACTTCTTATGTGCAGAGGTCTCGACAATCAAGGTTTAAAAGGTTTTCTGCCAAATGACATTGCTAAACTGCAACATTTGCAAAGCATGTAGGTCACCATACCCTTGTTTATGGTCTATAGTACTGCTTAAATTATCTCTTATATCCTGTTTGGAGAAACTTGTGTCATGGTCTGCCTAACAATTGATATGGTATTTGTCATATTAAATAACTTGAGTAAAGGCTTATCTGGTGTAACACTTTTACTGTTATATTTTTTCAATCTTACTTGGATGTACTCATCTATGGATTCTTTCTTTTACTCTTGTGAAGGCTGCTATTTCAACAGTCATATGACATGTTTTCTTGTTCTTTAATTTCTGAAGTAACTTTAGTGAAAACAACCTGTATGGGGCCATTCCATCCTCTCTTGGCACCATTGCCGGATTGCAAACACTGTGAGTTACTTCCTCTTTGTCTTCGATGTATGATGCAACTTTGTCTTCTTTTCTTTATTCTAATATATCAAGTTGAAGTTTTGTTCTATTTACTTTTTAACCATTTATAATTAGTTTAATATGTGAGGCTTTCAAGCATAATTTATCTTATCGATTTATACTGATGTGTCGACCAACTATCGATATGGTACATACCGAGTTGTATTAAGCCAAACCGAATATACTGATATATAATACATGATGCCATATTGATGTACTATCCGTATTGATCTTTTATCGGACTAATACATACCGTTCGTATCGAATGAAACACTGTAATACGATAAGACTTTGACATGCATGTTTAACCCTGAGTTCCTAATATTTAAAAAAATACTCGTCTTTGACATGCATGTTTAACACCTACATTTAACATAATCTCTGCCACTTGATCTCGATTTTGATTGCTACCTTGTCTACAATGCATTTAACATGGTCAATCTGAAGCATTTATGTCACAATACAAAATTGTTGATCAACAAAAGTTATTATGTGGATAGTCTGTGTGATTTCTCCTTGTGGATATGTAACACTTATCTCAATTATAATCCTGTTTTGTGCAAATATTTCCTAGTCGCAAAACCTCAGTTGTAAGATATGTGGTGCTGATATTTTACCTTGATAAATTAATTACCTCTAGAATCAGAGTGAATGTTCTAATGAAGTGACTCATGGATGGTTTAAGCGTCAACCATGCAGTTGTCGACTAATTTGTCAGTACCAGTCTCCCATCATTAATCTACTCAAGTTGGGTCAACTATGCTTATATTTATTTAATCCAGCTAGACAGGGAAATATTCTATTTGGATACAGGATTATGTTATCCTGATCTACAAAATTGCTGATTGAGGTCCTTCAAAGCAGTTCCAAACTAAAAGTGGCCAGCTATGAAAATTTTAAAAAATGCAGGAAATGTGTTATCCTTGTCATAAAAAATAGTCTTAATCAAGGTAGGACTCTGATTTAATCTGCCTATGTGACTACAATACAAAAAGAAAAAAAATAAAGTTCGTTATACCGTAATGTATCGCTCGATACGAGCGATGCATATCGATTTGATAAGGGATCAATATGAATAATACATCGGTGTATCCCATATATTGTATCGGTATAACTCGGTACAACTCGATATATATCGTACCGGCAGTCGGTATACCGGTACAAATCGATAAGACAAATCATGAGAAAAGTATATGTTCTTTTTCCTTTTTGCTTTTGGTGGAGTATGATTATATAAAGCAGGTCCTCGTATGATTAGTTTGTACATAAATTAGGAAAATATAGATGTATTGGATTTTGTTAAGAAAAATCTAGTTGAACATCAGTCAGGCGTTACCCTCTGCTTTTTCTATCTTTTGATAAGTTGTTCTTTGCAAAGTAACTTCAGTCAACTCTGCTATTTTCTTGATGTTATCAGGAATCTATCTACCTTTTCTGGATTGATATCAGAGTCAAAACCTCTGACCCTTTGTCAAAACTGATCAGTCCTTTGTGCCAACCAAAGGCATCAATTTTGACTTTTCTAAAGATGAAAAAATGGCTTCTTCCTCGGAATTCATCTTTCCTTGATGCAAATATAAAGAAGCTTACCAAACTTAATATCATTTATATAACAGAGCATGGTGGGGTGTTTATTGGATTTTGTCTTGTATAAAAATCTTCTATTGCAACTTTCTTTTCCCAATTTCTTTCCAAGAACTCATCTAATTCACTGATGCACTTGTCATGGAAATAATGGGACACGTGTCCTTCTTTGACCAAAGGTACTTAGGAAATCATTATCATTAATGCTGAAAGAAAAAGGCTTGTCCTTTTCCATTCTATTACTGAGGAAAGTATTGTCAATTCTTTCATTCTTTGAAAGGGTTTTTGCCCTTTTCCATTCTATTGCATTAATTTATAGATCAAGGGCGCACTTTAATTTTATAATATCATTCTTTCATTCTTTTAATATAATATTTTGCAAGAAAATAAAGGAATGCATTAGTTGCTAACTCTATGAATTGTTTGTAGAGATCTCTCCTATAACCAACTAAATGGATCAATTCCTGAGAGCCTTGGGCAGCTGACATTGTTACAGATACTGTAAGGATTGCTACAGTCAAATCTTTGTGAATTTGTAGCGGCTGATGTTGAAACTTTTATATAACTTTCTTGTAGGAATCTCAATGGGAATCTTTTATCTGGAAGAGTTCCTGCAAGCCTTGGAGGACTTCCACTTCACAGGGCTAGCTTCAAGTAAGAAATGTTTGTTAAGGCAATAGTCAAGATATTTGCTAGACTAATTAATGCCTAAGTTTCTATAGTTGTAATGCAGAAAGTTGCTGTTCTGCAAATATTTGATTACTTGTTTCAATTTTAGCACTTTACGAAGCTGAAAACTAATTTTTGCATCATGCAGAATCTAAGTTGGTTATTAGACACAAATTGACTAAAATATAGAGGGTTTACATATTAGTAGTGTCCCTTTTGAAACTATATGTTCAATGATAGTGATACTCAACATCACCTGAGTTTGAAATTGGAAACTTTTAGTCCACATATATCTATTATTTGATCCCAACTTTTAACGAGTGGAGGCAATTGTCAGGTTGACTGTATTTCTTGTGGCTTCTCAATTGCCTTTTGAAATGAAAATGCAACTTTGATTTGCATAAATTATCGATCATCAGTGTTCTTAGTATATTTTACAAATCAGCACTAATTATGACTGTTAGATGACTACTCTAAGGGGTTGAAGATTATGAATAGTACTTATTGGAATAGCCCATAACAGATAAATGCCGTTTAACTATAGTTAGGGACAATGATCAAAAGGAGTTTTCTTCCAAATTTTGCATCAATTATCTCCTCTAGATTCCAGCTACATTTCTCATCATCAGCCTCATGCAGCAGGTGAGACTTGGTGATTAATTAGGTGTCATGCAGATGAGCGTACGGTTTGATTAAGATAATTTTGAGCTCATTATCTGCTTTGAAGAAATATAAAATTTCCTGCATTACTATTTGATCAATGTCTACTCTGCAGTTTTAGGATGCTTACTACGGAATGCACAGTTTTACTGGTAATGCAGGTCTATGTGGAATACCAGGATTACCTTCATGTGGTCCTCGTCTATCTGTTGCTGCTAAAATTGGCATTGCTTTTGGGGCTTCGTTTGTGTTTCTGCTCGCCGTCGTCGCTGCACTGATCTGGTGGAAAAGAAGGGAGAACATCCTCCGTGCGCAAAGGATTGCCGCCGGTAAGTATCCTGTGTTCAAAAGAAAAGAAATTTCATCATAGCCTTGTTTATGAACTTATTAACTTAAAATAGCTTCCTTGCTCTATTGTAGCAAGAGAAGCTCCATATGCCAAAGCTCGGACGCATTTTGCACGAGATGTTCAAATGACAAAACATCATCGACCACGTGACCAAGTTCGGAGTCACACACTGATAATGGATCCAACTTAATCTCTTGATTGAAAGGATTATATGATTGTTCATTTTAACCTCTTTGTTCCTCTGCGATTGTGTTATCATATACAGGAAGAGTTTTGATCAAATAGATTTTTGATATAAAAGGTTCATGTATATACACCTCTATTACTTTATTCTGCTCTTCACAGGGGTAAAGGCTTAAACTAACACCTAAAACTTTAGCTTCAATGCTGGTTATGTTTTAACTACTGGTCATGAGTTTGGACCAAAACCAATATGTTTTTGTCTTGGCTTTTCTTCATTGCAAGCTACATTATGTTATAATTCTTTTAATGTTTTATCTCATCAATGCAATTAGGGGAGAGCGGTACTAAGCAACGTGCATTATGACTCCCCTATCGTTCAGTGCAAAAATGTATTGTATTGACTCTCCCTCGTCTACAAGAGATCACATCACGTGCTCCAACTAAATTAATCGGCGGACGCATTCACACCCGCGGCGTCTGCGGCTCGAGACAAACCGCTGTCTCCGTTACTCCACCGATTCATCTCGGCCGTCCATTCTGTGAGGCGGAGGACAGACATCTGTGGTGTGTTGGACACGTCTCGCGGACGTACCGCCGCCCCTTGGTACTTCGCCGAGGGCAAACAAAACGGGGGCACACGCACCCGCTGGTCTTCGGACAGTGGGTCCCGCGTAAGGGCGGTGGGGGCCCAGCTCCGTGATCCGAGTTGCACGGCGCGGAAGTGGTCGATGCGAACAGATGGTGGGCATCGCTCGACGGCGCCGAATTGTCCTCGATTGCCCCGCTCCACCGTCCAAATCTTGCAATCAACCCATATATAAACCCCTTCCCCCTCTCTTTTAACTCAGCCTCAGCCTCAGCCTCAGCCTCAGCCTCGCTTCTTGGATCAGAGTCATCGTACAATCGGGCAGAGCAAATAGAAGCCACTGCAATTAACAAAAGAGTAAAGAGAAAGAGGACTTTACCCATGGCGACGAGGGAGAAGCCGGCAGCCGGCGATGAAGGAGGAGGAAAGGAGACGCATTTCCGGGGGGTGAGGAAGCGGCCGTGGGGAAGGTACGCGGCGGAGATACGGGACCCGGGGAAGAAGAGCCGGGTCTGGCTTGGAACCTATGACACGGCCGAGGAGGCAGCGCGGGCATACGACGCCGCTGCTCGCCAGTTCCGCGGATCCAAGGCCAGGACTAACTTCCCCCGCCCGGACGCCTGCCCGTGCCCCGGGCCCGCCAGCGTCATCGTCGCCCCCTCCGCAGAAGCTGGCGGCGGCGGCGGCGGCAGCCCCAGTAGCCAGAGCAGCACGGTGGAGTCCTCCAGCCGCGAGGCAGCTGTACCGCCCCTCGCGATCCCGCTCCCGCCCTCGCTCGACCTCGATATCCTCCGCCGCAGCGGCATCAGCGGCTGCGCTCGGTTCCCCTTCCAGCCGTACCCGGCTGTCGCCACCCCCGCCATGCAGCCGGGACACCGGTACTTTCTCTTCGACACGATCGTCAGATCGGAGAAAGCAGCGGCAGCTGCGGCGATAAGCCGCCACCACCTCCTCACGCTGTACCCGCCCACGATCGTCGCCGATCTGAACTCTGCGATAGCCAGCGGCGTCCAGAGCGACTCCGACTCCTCGATGGTCAATCTCCACCGCAACCACCGCTCTTCGCCGCCGCACAGGATGCTACCCCTGGATCTCGACCTCAACCTTCCCCCTCCGCCCGAGATCACGTGATCCGCCCACCACCGCTTCCCCCCCCCCGCCTCAAACAACAATATCCCGCTACCCGTCTCATTCCCCGCCTTGAAATACTTCTCTCGAATCAAGCCCAAAAAGGAACAACTTAGTATTCCATTTTTCTTATTTCTTTACTTTTCACTTAGAGAGAGAAAGAGACCGAAAAATATTGTAAATATTTAGTTCTTTTTTCCTTTTTTTTTCCACAGAAAAGGAAACCCGTAGTACCATTTCCACTGACAATAAACGCTTTTTTTATATTCTACGGAGGGAAAACGAGGGATGGCTAGGCAGACTTTTGTCCATTTCTTGCTTGTTTCCATTGCGACAATTTGACAACCACCTTTCGTTGTCAACGATCACTTAGACGCGTCAGTAAGCTACTTCACCGGGCAGCGATTCTGGTACTGAAGTAACTACTCCACCGTCGCTCACCAGCTTCGTTTGTGGGTCACCTACGAAACCAACCCCATCGGCTTGGACGCCCGTGACTTTATTTATATTTATTTTCATCCTTCTCAAATTGGATTACGTTATGGTAATCGAGATGAATTGATTGGATACGGATAGTGATCCACCGTCATTCATAAATTAGGACCACGTCCTCCAACCTCTTATCTCGTATCATTACGAGGAAATTTTCGACGGTGCTCAACTCGATGATGTCGCAGAGCGCATTCTTACCGCGAACAAGTCGGCCCAACTATCTGACCACGAGTCAGCTCGCAGATTCAGGCACGAGTTCCGGGTGCGCCGCGCATCCATTGTGTCGTGGTGAGCCGTAAAGGTGGTATTAGGACAAAGCACAGGCTGTCTGATGACGTGGCAATTGGTGACCGTACCAGCTCAGCCATCTCACACGAAGCGGGAACCCAACTGCATCTGTCCCTTCCTTGTCTAAGACAATCGACAGTTAAAATAAGTACATTTTAAATCTCAGGCCTGTAATACTATCCACCTACACACGAACGGTCGTGAATCCACTCCATCATTTTCATCATCCATCGCAACGGTTAGTCTTGACCGCAAGTTGGTTCGAAACCAAACTGATCAAAACCTGAAATCGATCAACGATTTCAGGTTTAAGTTAAACTGACATCAGCTTCTAGCGATTTCGTTCCGATTCCTAATACTTGGAGTGATTTTGATTCGGTTCCAAATCGGAAGAAAAAAAAATCAATATTAAAAATAAAAATTAAGTATTAATAAAATATAAATAAATTAACAATAATTTCGGTTCAATTAATCAAAACCTAAACTAAAATCGTCAATTTCAAAATCAAAACCACTAGTTCTTGAACTGAAATCGATCTGATTCTGTTAGAATCGATCCAATCGATCTGATTCCGCTTCCAAAACTTAGGTCTTAAAAAAGAGAACCGTTCCATCCATCTCTCTCGGCCTTAAACTATAGTACCGCCATCTCCATTCTCTCGCTACCCACCTAACCAGCACTACTAATTCGAAACAAAGATGGCAAACTCACAGAAGAAGAAAGATCTACTTCAAAGCTTGATTTCGACCTCGAGTCGAGCTCATCTCGAGCTTGAGCATTTCTTACTGAAAGTGGATCAAATTTCATCATTCACCGGAGATAACACTGTTCGTGCTTCAGCAACCAAATAGTCGTTCCAACTGAATGAAACTAACCTAACGTTCTCGTATAGACGATCCACACCAAGAACCTACGAAAGAAAAAAATTGCTAGTACCATAGGTTCTAATTAAGCCTTCAAATGTAAATTAAAATTAGATCCTGTCGGACCAGGTAAAGCCTCAACAAATCTCGTTGGTTTGTCTTTACAAGCCAAGTGTCTGCTCACAGATCGGCTTATACAAGGCTTTAGACTTAATTCCTGACTGAGTTAATCATAGTATAAGTTGGAACAGCCTATAGCACTTTCCCATACGACGTCTGCAGTCTCACAAGTTTCAGTTGACTCGTTGCATAAGTTGCTCTTTGAACAATTGTTAAAGTGCCGACATTAGTATGTAGATGCTGCAGCAAAGAAAATATTAGCAGAGCTGGTGTTACCTCTGCACTGCGCATGCTATTCCTAAAATGAGTGGGAAATACTGTGCCGGCCTAAACAACCACAACAGAGAGAGCAAACAAGACTTTTAATCCTTGGTTTGGACAATGCTAAAGATATACTAAATTTTAAGTAGTATTTTTAGTTTTTTATGGCTCAAACTTGAAAGGGAAATCAATCTGTCAACTGATATTTTCCTAATTGAAAACTCTAGTCTGCTTTGAAGCTTGAGTTAACTAAGTCAACTAGGAGTGACGTTTTAGTTCCACTAATTACACGATGCTTAATCCATTTCCAGGGTAAGCATATCCGAGTCCTCTGGTTTTATTCATGTTCTCACTTAGACTTCTACTAATTTGCTTCAAATTGTAAACTAAATTTTCTTCTATCTCCTCGTTTTCTAGATCTATGTGCAGAATCATAAATCATGTATAGTAAGCTTTGTTAATTTTCAGTAAAAACTACCTAAAACTGATCTTGGTTGGATCTCTGACATTCAATTGTAAACCTAACTTCACAAAGGCCACAGCAGGAGCAGCAAGAAAGTGTTGCCTTATCCATTATAAATCTACGTACTGATATACTAATAGCACTGATGAGGAACATAGATCAACATTCTCCTTCACTGCAGTTACAGGATACTAAAAAATCTTTTGACTACAAGGCCAAAACTTCAGTACTAAGCTGAGCACTTCAACCACCATTTCATTTGGCAGGACTTTCAGAGTTGTATGGTGGGATTGTTCATCACAAACATATATATACAAAATGCTTGGATAAAAAATAGCATCATTAACTATAATTTGATTTTTTTATGAAAATATATCAGCAAAAAACAAAATAAAGAGAGAAGTTAGAAGAAGCATTTAACATCATCCCCAAGACTACTCAGCTCCATCTCAATAGCTGAACAATATAATTTGAGGAGAACTATTGCTAGTAATCAAGGACTAAAATGCTTGATTCACAGAATTATGCACTCATATTATGAGAGAAATACACATATATAATGCATGCCAACGCGTCCAACATAGGCACACTGCCACGCATCAAATTTGACAGTTCGCATTGGTATGGTGCATTGCAACATCAGCTTGGTACAGTAAAGTACACCATGCCAATACATAGCCACCGTGGATTAGCATGCGAGACATTAATTCTCACTGGTAGGACTACGTTGCGAGACATTAATCTTCACTAGTAGAAGAGACTAAGTAGAGGAGAACAGTATGTCGTCTCATAATAATCTCTACATTAGTACAACTGGAATCACTTTGGAGAGATTGTGCTCCTATATATTGCTTTTACTTGTATGAGTTCCCAAATGAAAATAGTTTTGACAAACAAATACTTCATGTTCCCCTTTGTGCTTAACACTCTTTTGACTGTGGTATGACTCGAGGATTCTCTTGTGAACAAGCTTAAACAGACGTTGATAAGAAAGACTTCCCTATTACTAGATAGTCTTATAGGTTAAATTAACTCCTATCTTGCGTGTGTTTGACTTTGCAAGAAAATTGACTTTGAGACTGATGTCAATAGTTGCCCATAAAACTTAATACATATCTTCTCTAAGCATCAACCACTAATTGCATGAATATGATGGGGACGACACTAATTAGAAACAACTGCTTCCTTCAACTCTTTTGTCATTTTTTACGTCTAAAAATTAATGGCTGATTTGGCTCCTGAAGCTTGAAATGAGAAGGATCCTCTTCATATGCTGGACTTGTAAAACAAAGGTACATCCAAGATCAAGCTACATATATATTTATAATCCCGTAATATAGATTTGAGTAAGGCTGCATCCTGTTTATCTTGATAAAATTATAGCTCAACCCATGTAGAATAAAATTAACAATGCGTGCCGTATATTTTTTGTTGAGCAATGATTTACCAGTAATTCTACCCATTCTCCTTTTTCAATGCATATCTCCGACACTAAATTAATCAATAAAATGCATAAAGCGGCACAGGACAACTCAAGAGGGAACAAAAAGACACCACGACATACTATGCAGAGGAAGGACAAAATTCGAGTACCTTATCGGCATCGACCCTCAACGTCGAGACGAGCAGCAGTGGCGGATGCCTCCTCAACCTTGACAAGAAACGAGAAAACAGAGGAAAAAGAGAGGTCAGTCACACGATAACCAAGTGCACCTCCTCGATGATCGTCATCGAGAGGAAGAAAGCTAAACCACCTCGAATCCTCCGCCGCCATCTGGGGCTTCGTCGGACCCGAGTGCCTCCACAACGGCCGCAGAGAAGGAAGACACGGGAGGGGAGATGGGAGGGAAGGGAGCAATTGGAGCGAGGAGGAGATGGGTTTGGGGTTTGGGGGGCGGCAAATTTGGGGAGATGAGGATGGCGCTGCTGCGCGCGGACGCTATATATATACGTCAGATATCGGATCCGGTTGAGACTTGGCAGCGCTCAATCCGACCCAGTTATGCGTCTGACCGAGCATCGATTAGATGACTCAAACAATAACATGTTATACACCAATATATATACGCAGACATGATCATGAAATCACATCGAACGTCAGATATCGGATCCGGTTGAGACTTGGCAGTGCTCGATCCGATCAAGATGAGTCAGATCGAACACGGATTGGATCGGGAACGATTTGATTCAAAGCCAACTCCCTCAAATCGGTTGTCCCTTTTTTACTATTTATAATTAATGGATATAAATATTTTTAACTTATTAGTTAATTCTAACAAACTTTTTGGACTCCTTTTGTACCATTTTTGTTTCTTTCTTTTCTTCCCCTTTTTCTATTTCTTATTTTTGTTTTTCTTTATGAGAATCTCTCAACATTGGTGATATAAAATTAAAAAAAAATAGATAATCAACTTAGATAATTAAAAATCAAAGAGAATATTTGTTAGATTGATTTAACATTTTAAGATTTAAGATGTCAAATTATAAGCCCTATCCATTTTTAAGATTTAAGATGTTACATTATAGGCCAAAAAGATGATATCCATTTTGTGTAATAGCCTGAAAAAAAAATATCTTTTGGGTCAATTTGTATCAACTCAAAAAATATCATATTCGAAGTCAATTAAGAGGTTATGAAAAACAAAAATATGATTGATAATTGAGGAGTTCTATTATATATATATATGATTGTATGAAGCGAAGGGGTTATCAATAGCAATTTTCTAACTATATGTTGTACACCAATATACTTACATATATGTGACCTTTTATAATCACATATATGACCTTTTATAATAAATATACTTTATATGTGATACTAATTTTCTTATAAAATATTTATATTTTTAGGTATTTATTAAAAATATCTCATTTTATTTATTTTTTCCAAATAGTATATTTGATTTAAAAGTTTCCTTCAAAATTCCTATAAAAGAATGAAGAAATTGAAGAACATGTGGCTCTAAACTTTAAGGGGTGAGTTTAAAATATTGAAGATGAAAGAGACAGAGTTTATTTAGAATTACTTCACAAGAGTCTTAGTTATTGTCAATTAACAAAGATGAAACTTGAAGCTATTATGGTGGCTATTGAAGAATCAAAAAGATCTTGAAACAATAATTATTGATGGACTTATGACTTATTTACAAACTCATGAACAAAGAATATAAAAGAAGATAAAAAAACAAATAGAGTAAGATTTTTAAGCTATCTTTACCTCGAAGACAAATATGGAAAAGTTAAAAGGAGAAAGGACCCAAAGAGATTAGGGTAGTGATCATGGTAAAAGCTATGGTAAAGATCAAGATAAGCATAATACAAAAATGATAATAGAAAATGTCCCAAGAGAGGACATGGAAGAGACCATTCTTCAAGAGAACGAAGGTATGATAAATTTAAAAAAATTTATTATATTTTAAATAAGATTGATTATTATTTATCTAAATGTTGGTACTATGATCCTAACTAAGTTGATGAGAAGACTAATTATGATAAAAAGAATAAAAAAAGATAATTTTATCTTATTACTGATACAAAAGGAAGGAGACACTTACAAGAAAGACCTTTGGTATTTGGATAGCGGAGAAAGTAGGTCATTTGGAGATTTCTCAAAATCGAAAGTAAAGGGAAAATATAAAATCCTTATATAAGCTAAAAATAAAAATAATCATTTTATCTCTAATATGCCCAACATAAAAATAAATATTTTAAGCTTGAGACAATATTTAGAGAAAGGACATAAATATGCATATAAAAAATATAACTCCCATGCTAAGAAGACTAAAAAGTAGCTGTTCATATTGAATATAAAGCATGTAGTTGATGATAAATGCTTGAATACCAGCTTGAAAGATAGTTTTTAGATATGAAACTTAAGACTTTGGACATCTCTACTTTGGTTCACTCAAGTTTTTTTTTTTTTTGTTAAATTTTTCTACATATTTTTTTACTAGTTAATAAATTATTACAATATTTTCATTTGACTCATTTAGAGTATTTTTCAATAATATTTATAATATTATTTTCTCCTTGGTTGTCATTGTTTATAGAACATTATGATGTCATATTTTTAGAGTTGTAGTTAGTTTGGTTAAAGTTAAAAGTCTATTTAGATTATTTATAATAGTTTTGAGTAGATTTTATAATATCTTTATTTGTGGTGATAAAAATACTATAACAAGTCAATGTTTTATTTTTATTTAGATGATATTATTACTAATTATTATAAATAACTACTTGAATGATAGTATTATATATCAAGTGGTTTTATGTTTTGATTTAATTTACTTTATTTATAATATTTTTAGACTTTATAATTTTTTTTATTGTGATGCTGATATTATAATAAGTAAAAAAATGTTTTAAATTAGAGATATTATTTGAAAAAAAAATCAGTATACCGAAAAATAGTCAAATTATAAATATTTTCTAACGTAATCTAACCTTCCCAATTAATGTAAAAGCAACAAATACAAATTGGGACGTAAAGCCGTCTCGATTTCTTGCCCGGGAAGATGGCAGCCTCCCGCCGCTCCCCATCTTCTTCCTGACCTTCGCATCTCTTCTCATCTTCTCTTCATGATCGCATCTGCGTTACTGCAGTTTTGACGCCAGTCGATAGCCTGGTTTCCTTCGGGGGGGTTGGTGATCACGGCAGAGCGGAGGGATCGCTCGGTCAAGATCATCGCCCCGGGGAAGATCACCCTAACCTCACGCCACCTTCCCGCGCCTCAGGGCGCTCCACCTCAAGCCTGTCGCTGGTCTTTTTCTACGCCTCACGCCATAGGCCCCGGATCTCGCCTCTTGTCTGTGGTAGGACCTCTTCTCTCGTGACGTATAAATGGTTGTTTCGTCCTCTCTGTCTCCGATCCCCTGGAGAGACTTGGTAGTATTTATTCGAAATGCCACGATCACTGTTCTGATGTGAAGAAGTCGTTCGTCTCGTTCAACTCTGTTCTAAATCTGATGGGCATTTGGACGCGACATGCACACTCGATACGTCCCCCTTTGTTATGATCTTTCTTGCTCGAACAGTTTTGGGTCAGAATTCTGAATGTTGGTTAATCGGATGCCAATCCGCCTGATCTGACCCCAGATCACGTTAACAGTTGAACTGGGGACGGATCGGGGCCGATACAGTCTAAGTTTCTTGCAGTCCTATGAGCAGCCGTAGACTTAAGCCCGTCAATTTTTCTTTCAATTTTCTTGTAGTTTTTAAGAGATGAACATCATATATTTACTAATCAAACGATAAAAGGACGCGAGAATATGTATTTAGTGGAGGCCTGGTCTTTTAGAGACAAAGCTGCTTACTGAGTTTTTATATGGGCCTCTTATCAAAGAGGCACATCGCTTTTGCTAAAGCTAGAATGTGTGGATATATCCATTTAGAGAAGCTCAATTTGCTTAGAGCAAAACAACTTTAGTCTGCAATATTCAATTCTGTCATATTAAGATATATTTATTGCTCAAAAGTGCATCCTTTAGTTACTGTCAGATGATTTTGTTGTTTCTGGTGTGTGGTATGACAAATTGAGTCTTTATGATTGCACGATGTGTCCTTAGTCTACTGATAGAATCTAATGAAATGCAGAAAATTGATTTCTAATGACAGGATTTGTATCTAGGAACCTGCAAAATGGCTGTGCTGACAACTAAATGACTGTATGCTTCCTTGTTTGCAGGTCGTCATAGGCAGTGATCACGATCACTGTCTATGACCTGCACTAGCTTAACTTATGTATGAAGTTCCTTTACCATCTGCTACTAGCCCTCATCTTCGTCGAGCTGGTAGCAAGCCTATTTTTACAGACCAGGGTAAAAGAAAATCAATATGCAGCCCTTTCCTTTGCTTTACTCAAGTTTCTGGACGTAATTTGATGTCCACGTCACAAACCTAACTTTCATTTTTCAGATTCCACTGAACCTGGAGTTGCTAATGACTTAGGCTTAGTTTTTCCGACAAAGGTAAATGAGATGAAGAGTCCCAGCGTGGCAGCTTCTAGCGTTGCAATGATCCCATCACCAATTTTCTTGTGGAGATTCAAGGTTTTTTTTTTTCTGTATACTTGTTCCTTTTTCCTTTTTTTTATTCTTCATAGTATGAAGATGAGTTCCTTTAAAATGGTAATCTGATTTTTACAACAATATATTTATATTCTCGTTTTTCTCTTATTTTAATTGAATAACTTAACTGTTCTTGATTTAGCTTGATCATTTTGAGATTGCTAAAACTATACAAACAATCAGAAAAAAAAAAAAAAAATCAGCAACCTTACCTGGTATGTTTGTGCCCTCCAGTTTTGTTCAATCCCCTAATTATTTTGAGATCTGAAGCTATCATAAAAATATGACCCAGCACTCAAAGTCCTGACCCCATCTCACTTAAATATGGACAGATGATCCAATATAGACTGTCCTAGACTGGTTTGTTTTAGAAGGGAATTAATTTCTAGGCACTGGTGTTTTGGCCTTTTTGCTGATGTACCACCATTAAGGACCAGATACAGGCAATTTTTTCATATTAGATACTTGTTTTGAAGTGCTGTAGAAGTGAAGTTCATTAATTAAATTATATGTATACTAACTTAAGAACATTTTCAGGTTTTATTGTTTCTTATGTGGGGCATCAGCTGTTGTAAGGTTAGTTCTTAATCTTAATTGGACATATAGTATATTGGACAGGTATGCATAAGTGCCTAAGATAGATTTCAGGTATATAATTCACATATATTCTTTGCAGATAGGCTGGGACTCTGTAATGCAAATGAATACAGATAAACGACATCTGTTTCTTTATGAGGCATTTTTATATTTTAATCCACTTCTTCTTGTCGTGAGTATTGTCATGGTTGGGTAACTCATTTGTTCCCAAACCTGATATTTTTTGATCCATTGTTCTCTGATTCCCTATTTGCTTTTTTGTTCTAATCTTCTTAATTTAATATTACAGACATTGATGGTTTGGCTGTGGGGAGTAAATCTATGGGTTTTTTCTCAATCTTCTGTTAACTATGCTAAAGTATTTGATCTTGACCACACTCATCTCACATATCGGGAGATATGGAAGGTATTACATGTTTCCTGCTGATGCACATTTCTTCATCATATGGCTCGTCTCATACTAATGCTCCTCCAAAAGCATATCATCTTCAAAGTATCAAAGTAACACCACTATCGGTATCTTCACTTTAAATGTTTTATGTAAAATTGTAACCACATGCTATCTGCTCTGTGACATGAGTGGGTATGCAATGCTTGCTAATATGTGCAAATAAATATGTCCATGCATGCCTGCTGGGAGCATGTGGTCCATTTGGTAGCTATTAGTATATTTTCATTGTGAATATATTGGAAATTTGGATCCAGTTCTGTATACTCCATGTTACCAGTTAGCTCTGTAAAACCACCTCCTCTATATTAAGCTTTCCACATTCCATGCGGTGCATTTTTTGTTTTATTCATGCAATCATGCAATAGAGGCAAATCTCTTCATGTTCCAGAAGCAATCTGGGTCTGACTTCGGATTAAAAATAGCTGAATATATGTTATCATTTCTGTGAAATCAACTGGAAAGGAGGCATATTTACTAGTTTTCATGGAAATATCACGATGTGGAATAAAGTGGTGCATAATATGGCATCTCCAATATATTTCATCAATAGTCAAAGCAGTATAATAGATGCCAGAACACTTTTCTGTCTCTGATTTAAATATCAGACCCCAGCTTTGTGGAGGCTGATTTAAAGTACATGCTCTTCAGGTTATTTCTCTCTGGTTCCATATGCTATTCTGATGTTGATGGACATTTTGCCTGCTGCTTGAGTTTGGTGCCGAGTTTTTAAAGAAAAAGTTTTCAACTGCCATGTGTTTCATTTCTGGTGATGCTAATTACCATGCTAACATCTCTAGCTCCGAACATCTCTCAATGTGACGTTAATGGTACTCGGCAGTGATGTGACTGGGGGGTTGATCCCCCATATCTTGGACCCTTTTTTTCCTTATGTTATAATGTTATTTCTATAATTCCTTTTATGCCAAATATCATTTTCCCACAAAGTACGTCATTTGTTTAGGATATTAGGTTTTACACTTATATAATCACCCTTGTTAGTGTTTTAGGCACACATGTAATCTGGATAGTTGAGGATAGATGTAATTTTGATTTAAGAATAGATTTATTTGTTTGTTTGTTTTCTCGATTCATTCAGAGTCTGACATATTAGACTATGTAAGTAGCTAATGCTAACTGAATTCTTTATAATGTTTACAGTGTGCAACCTGGATGACCATCATAGTTCCTACTAGTATGGCAGCTTATCTCTATTTGTATTCACATGGTGAAGTATCACTAGCTGCATCTCAACCAGTATAATATCAGTCCCCATCTAAATTATTTTTTAGTGCTTATGTTTTTACGTTGTAATATGTATTACAAATATGTGGTGTCTTGATCTGTTTCCTTGTTCGTAATAATTTAAGGCGTACTTGCAAGTTGCACATGATGTTTACACCTATTGTTTCTAAAGTTACAATAGAACATATATTGACCAAGTTTTAAAATTTTGATTATATCAATCAGTACAAACCAACATGTATTGGTCCAAGTCAGATGATAAAGTTAGTTTTTCCATACCTCCAGATGTTTTTCAACATCGATAAATGTGTTTCAGGTTGCATATTATGAAATGTAAAAGTTTTGAGCTATGCTGTTATGGCCATTAAATGTGTGTTTTGGTGCATTTCACTTACTTTGACAGATGTTCAAAATTTTCAGTGATCTAATTGATTAATATGATTGGGATCTACATTAATGTGTTCCTTTCCTTTTACTGAGAACATGTAATAGTTATATGCACTTCTCGTTTATGTAATTTATGCATCTTACAAGGAACTCAAGTGTTAATAACTTGTGTTTAATTTAAATTCCTCATTTTATGCTTGTAATTTTGTCTAGTGAACAATCATGTGTGATGCATTCTGATTTTTCTTTTTTCATTGTAATGTTGTTGAATTTTTCTAAGCTTTTTGTTTGAACTGCAGGTTATTCTTTATGCTGCCATTCTAATGGTTCTCATATTCCCCTTTGAGATCTTTTACTTGCCATCCCGCTACTACTTGTTAAGGACTGTATGGCGCATAATACTCCCATTGCAGGCAAGTGTTAATTCTTATACTCTGAACCAACTTTTATGCAGAGTTGACATGATAATTATAGCTACCCAACTTGCAAGAAAATTAGGCTTTATCCACATCGTCCATGAGACAGTTTTAACTGAGATCATCATATTTCATTGTTAGAAAGAGTTGAAGGTATAAGCATTTTGGTTAACTTTTTTTGTTTGCATGAATTTTGAAGCTTTGATTTCCAGTGTCCACAATTTGATGTTCTTTTACTATCAACTTCATGAATGGCCCAATTTGTCAAAGTTTGTCATATAATGATAACTGAGCATATTCTAAGTTTCTAGATTATGGCTGCACGTTGAGAGACACTTTGGATTCTTATACGTAATTTTCTTTAGATGTTTTCAAAATGTTTCAAAGATTTCTTTTCACAAAATTAAGCTTTTCGAATGCAGGCAATCACATTTTCTGATTTCTTCTTGGCAGATATCATGACATCAATGTCAAAGGTATTTAATTTAATAGTTTTTGTCATTTAAATTAGTTATCATTTATCTGTTAAACAATTTCCTAGATAGAAGATTGTGTATGGTGCTTCTTTATGCTATGAGTTGGTGTTGTATCACTTGTTCAGAACCGAAAGAGAGAACCAACATGCTCTCCAAGTTTGCCGAGTTGGATGTTTTGATTGTCACTATCATCTGTCAAGGTTGTGAACGAAGGTGTGCTACCAGTTTCTGTAACCTAGTGGACCAGTATGGTACCCTGTTTGGTACCTGTATACTAGGCATTATACCACTTGTCTTAGTATAATTAAATAAGATAATTATATATAAAAATTGGCTGGCACATGTACTGGTATCGAGCTATATTTTGCAATTCCTTTACTTGATTGATCTGGTCAATATCGCTCGGTGTCTTTGGGTCTTGGCCAGTTTTTTAATCCTTGTGATCTTTGTTCATGGGTCTATGAGTCAAACTTGTACTGTAATATTTTTCCATAGCTGTCATTTCCTCCACAAGATCAAACCAATCAACAAGTTCATTCCATGCAGATATCCTCTACTGAATCTCTGATTATCATGTGATAATTCATAAAACTAAGGAGACGTGCATGCTTCAGTGTTTTGCCAAACATTAATTCTCCTGTTGTATCTTAAATTTTCACTACTGTAATTATTGGTTTCTTTCTAGGTATTCTCAGATTTGGAGCGGTCAGTTTGTCGGATGTTTAACCGGCAGGTTAGTACAGAAGTATTAAATCGATCTCTTTTTTATATAACTTCCAAGACAAGTACTCGTCAAATGTTTGCAACATGCTTCTTCTATATTTTGCTAGATTTCACTTTCTTTAGCCAAAATTTTAATTTCTATAGAATTTTAAGTCCACCTCTCTGCACATACACCCCCTGAGACAAGCAATCACATTTTATTGGTTATCAAAGTTTTCAACATGATTTTCTTTATTGGCTTCTAGATTATATGAACTTTTACATAGACTTGTGTCTTATCTGTTGATGGGCATTCTTCTTTAACATTTGAAGGAATTTGACTGATTGACTGTTTATTTGATTCCTTAGTTGGATAGTGACCTGAGTATCACATGTTGCAGTTTAGACAATACAATACATCACCACAGAAATTATACCCAGTGTGATTTATGTCGTGTTGTTGTCATTGAACATGTATAATTTGGATACGTACAGGTTATAGTACTTTGAGAAATGAATTAAATCATTAATAGCGATGTTCGTTAGGTTGAAGATTTTACAAGCTAAGTTTACCATCACCTAAATAATTTCAAAACTACAAATTGCAATTTAATCGCTTTCCACAATAAATGAAAAAGTGTAACAATGTGCTATGTGCTTAGGGCAATTTTAGTTGCTGCCTTATTGCTGCAATAATTAAGCTCTACTGATGTCTGCAAGCACGAATTCTCTCTTTTCATCAATAACAGCCTTTTTATGGATTCATCAATTTTCAGGTTGCAACAATAGCTTGGTTTGAAGCTGATTCTGTATGTGGCAGCCACTCTGTTGTAATTCCTGTAGTGCTTGTCTTTCCCTATGTGTGCCGTTTTTTCCAATGCTTACAACAGTACAAGGATACTAAAGAAAGAACATGTCTTTTTAATGGTAAAAGGATACATTTAATGCTTTAGCTTATTTTTCAGTAAGCTTTACCATTTCTATTTATGATGCAAACTGCAAGCTTATAGTTATTAGGTCAAAATATAATATAATATTCTGATGCTTGATATGTATTATTTAGTTGCTCAAAGGGTTACAATGTCTTTGTATGATTAAATGATATATTGATCCTGACTGCATATCTGTTCATGTTCTTTTTTTTTTTCTTTTGATCCCTTTTTTTTTACCTTTATGCATTCTGTTGTTATGCTTTATAATAACAAGTTCTAATAATTTAGCTAATGTGATAACCACTAATAACTGTTCCATGGCTCAGTGTTCTAGATTCATAGTTGTTTCATAATTCAATTACCAACTGCAAAAGATCGACTTGGGTAAATCAGATAGTAAAACTTAGATAAGTTATGGCTATATTTACCCATAAAGAATACACCTACCATACATGTTTCCCTTATTGTTCACTAAAATTTTAATTTTTGATATCATAATAACTTTTTAGGTCTGCATTGTGATGTGCAATGACAAGCATAATTAATGTCTTTTAAATCGGCAACAACAAAAGCATGTACATTTTTGTAATGAAGTAAATTCTAGAGTAATAATTCTACAAGCAAATTCTTTTGAATATAGGAGATGAATGAAAAATGGTTGCCTTGAATGGTCAATGATAACTGAGAGTGTTTCATCTTTGGTTTGAGTTCTAACTCGGCATACTTTTCTAATTCTTCAGCTTTTTTCAGGGTATTCTGACTTGGGGGTAGCAAAGGTTTGTCCCAACTCCCAACTTATCCCCAACTTATCCAAGATGTATTTCATTATTCTTTAGATGAAGTTATTTTCAAGAACTTGTGATCTAGTGCTTGAAGACATAGACCAAGATTAGCCTACACCTTATCCATGATCATATATTTTATTGACCAAGTTTTAGGCCCACAAGAGTCACACTAATGAACTGATCCAAACTCATGACAACCACCCTTCATCTCAAGATTCTCATTACCCTTAGCTTTACTAGATTTAATCGTTTTCTCCTTTTCTTACTTCTGAACAGTTGCTTTAAATGCTTGAATGTTTTGTCTTAATATACTGGATTATCTAGCCTCTTCTCACTTTTTTTCTTAATTGTTCACATGATATTTTCTCTCGTTTCAGCTTTAAAATATTCAACTGCGGTTCCCGTGATTTTTCTTTCGGCTCTCAAGTATCATGTTCTCCCACTCAGTTGGACTAATTTCTACCACCCTCTTTGGCTTATTTCTAGTGTCATAAACTCATTATATTCATTTTATTGGGATGTCACACGAGACTGGGATCTGAGGTATGTGCCAGCTTTTCTGCATCTTCTGAAGCTTTTTTGAGCTACGATTAAAATTATTTTTTGTTGTATTGATCTATCTCTTCCCTTGCAGTGCATTCTCTCGTATTTTCAAGTTTAAAAATCCACATATCTGCACAAACCTTTTCTATGGGCGAATATGGGTATATACTTGGGAGTCTCTAACAATTCCTGACCACAATGTCATTGTTGCTAAGCCTATGTGTGCAATTGCAGGTCTATTATTGGGTGATAGGAAGCAACTTAATACTTAGGTGCACTTGGACTTACAAACTTTCAGCTCATCTTCGGCACAACCATTTGACAGTTTTTACGATTACTGCTTTGGAAATAATGCGGCGGTTTCAGTGGATCTTCTTTCGGGTCGAAAATGAGTGGAACAAGATGATGATGATGATGAGCAAGCCAAGCTTGGAACTATCCATTAATGAAACCCCAGAGGAGGAAGATAGACTACTGGGATCTGCCAACCATAACGTGTAAACGATGGTGATTCGGCACTTGAGTGGCTATTTTCATGTCACCATTTATTCTTTTCCGGAGAATCTGACGGCCCTGCACACAACATAAATCAACAGGAATGAGGTATATGTTTTTTTTCTTGCAATATTCATTTACCCTACAGCTAATTTGTAATTGGCCATTATTTTTTGAAATTGCTAAGACTCTAGAATTTAGTATTCGTCACATACATGCTAAAAAATTTAAAATTTTTAAAAGCTTATGTACGTGTTCTTATAAATAATCCATCATTAAATATCATTTAAATGTTAATAAAATGTCGATTTAATATTTTTTTTTTACCATATTATTTCTAAGCTTATTATTTCTAAACTTTGCAAAGGGGCGTAGATATGTTAAAATGCCTGTTTCTCCACCCACTACGGTTAAGAGGACAGGAAGGAACGTATGGGTCTTACCGTGGACACGAACACGAATCAAAAAGTCCACCAAAATATTCGACTCTGTTCAGTCTTCACATTTCTGTCAATCCAAAAGATCAAATCTAACCCTCAAAGTTCCAGTCATGTTGTCATAACCAGGACATGACATCACCCATAGACCTTAGTTTACGGACCATGATATCATCTAAAGCCAGCTAAAGTGTCAGAGTAGATTGCTGAATACACTGCATCTTAATAATGAAAACAAACAAGTATGCATCAAACTCCTAATTAATTACCTGCAAATTACAAAAGAATATTTTGACTACAACATCGACCAATTATTAGCGACCACACCAAACACTCTCTTCTTCTTTCCTCTACAAATATCAGAAGAAGAGATAGGAAAACAAAATTAGGAGTGTGATCATCTATTCTCAAAACCAATAACCTCTAACAGATGGAAGGCATACGCTAAAAGAGAACATTGGACTTTTAGTCATCTTCTAAGTAAATTGCAATGGACTTTGTAGATTGTGTTAAGCGTTTTTATACAATAAACATTACTCCATGACGCATCTAAAGAAAAGCAACCCCATCAGTGTATTGACCATTCAAATCAGAGACCAAAGAGCCTCAAGAAAAAGGCGGCAATCCGAGACATCAATAGAACATGGAATCCATGTCAAAACAGTCTCAGTGAGGAAATTCATGTGGTATTGGTAAGACTATAATCTTATTGATATGATGCATACTTGCTAGATGATAATGTAACTCACCTTTAGTCCACTAGCTTCGGCACAAGCTGCTCTGTGGGCTCACTTAGAGGTACTCTTTCTATTTTTGAAACTTGCTCGTTTCCATCGACAGATGGTTTTATGAACACATTGAACAAGATGTTGTTCAGAACCGTAAGTAGGACAAGGGCAACGGCAGTATATGCAAGATAAGACCCTGACACTTCTGGCATATCATCAGTCCTCTTGCCGGTTATCAGATCTCTGTCTAGAATAGGCTCTGCAATTTCATTTACGTAAATTGTTGTTAAAGGTGAATAAGAAATTGAAATATGTTATAATACCGCTAACATGTAGTGCATGAAATTGTAATCCAGGAAACTAAATGTAACCGAACACCTAATTGGCTATATTGGAATTTCATTATTAGTTCCACACCGTATCCTGTCATAGAAGTGGATCGTACAAAAGGGAAACACTTATTATTTGCATCACCTTATTTTCGATGGTTCTATTTCTTCTAACAAAACAATCATTCCATTAAATATGACATGGTAGAATCATGACTTGTAGCATATGGTACTTAAAAATAATTTCTATGCAACTATAGACTTCCACCCAAATCCTTATTTTTTGTGTCCTCACAAGTATAGAGTCTATAAACAATAACAACAATTAGAAAAAGTTGTTATCAACAATTTAATGACAACTACATGAACCCTATTCACCATTGAACACTAATAACAGCAGCGTCATGCAACAATTCCCCTCATACCTCTCTTATCATTTGTAATTGGATTCTCTTCGGTCTTCTTCTTCCCCTCTCAGCACATTTGTTTTCAATTTATGCACCTCATGCCATTGGTGCATTTATAATTTTCAAATGATCTTAGACTATATCCCCTTGTTTCGGCAGTGACCAGTCTAACTAATTTCTGATGACCAATGATAATGAAACAATTAGGGATATGCAATTAGGCGATCGAGAAAATATATCAAGATCTTCCATAATCATTTAGATACAATCGAACTACATTCATTTATGATGAATGCATTTCAGATAGTTGAGCAATCCCTTAGCTTCTATATCCTATCTTTATCATTTTGGCAATTATAATATGCAATCAACTCAATATGCAATTTAGGCCTTGACTTCCTTAAATAGTTTTGCCATTCCATGTCTCCTAAAGAAATCCTCTGGTTATTATCTCAAGATGCAGAAGTAGCAACTGAAATCAGAACCCACTAGTTTGTACTACTATGAGAAATTCAGCCTCCTGAAGAGATCAGATCCTGTCATGTATTGCCTGCTTGCACTTATTTTCAGCCATTCAATTTATATCCATATTGATTTAAGATTTTCCTTAAAAAATGCATTCATCTCATCTGTGTTGCTTTCCAGGACAAACAAAATGAATACATTCATCTCTCTCCCTTCCTCCCTCCTTCCTTTCTTATCCTTCAATCTCTTTCATTATTCTCCTTTTAAATTTCTTTCTTTCTTTCCTTATCACTGCTGTTATAGAATTTGCTGCACAATTCAACCATGCAAAATCAATTTCAAGATTAACAGTCAACAAGCTTATCGTTAATTCCTTATACACAAATTGATATGTCTCATTCACAGAGATTTTCATCTCCTTCTGCAGCTTTTGGAGACATACCCAATGCCCCCTTTCTCTGGTCTTACTACTACACAAGAACAAAGGCAAACATCGCAATTGACCAAAAAACATGATATAATTCATCCAAAACCACAGATTACTCCATGCAATTTGAAGCGTTAAAGCAATGAAACAGCGAATGGAAAGTACAAATATGACCTAGAGAAATTAGGAGGCGTACCTAAAGGAGGAGGAGAGGGCCGCTTCTTCTTCGGGAGGGCTTCCTGCTGCGCGAGGGACTCGAGCTGCTGGTCGAGCCGCTGCAATGCTTCCCGGGCCTTGCTGGGGTCGACCTCGAACCGGGTTTCTTCCCCACCCATGGCGCTAATTGCAGTGAACAGCCGCCTGTGAGCCCTCCTCCGAGCAGGGCCAGGAGCTCCGACGATGTTGAAGCTAAAGGCGGCATTCAGAGGCGAGGCGAGGAGACCGGCTCTGTGGTGGACGAGCTGAGGCGGCGACGGAGACATGAGAGCCGATCGCCCACGCCTGGCAGCGAATGCACTGCGTTCGTCGAACACTTGGTGGGGGAGTAACGGACATTAATTCACATAATATGCACGAAATTACGAAAAGGAAAAAAGAAATATATGCTCTAATTTCAACAAAAAATAAATAAATTCACATAATTAATATTTTCTCTAAAATTAAATTAATAATTACATATTCTTTATCTTAGAAAAATTCTCAAATGAAATTAATAATCAAAATATAAGATAATTTGGATTGAATCATATCAAGTCTAAAATCGTGTTGGGCCTTTGAAATTTATTTTCAACCTATTTATATTTCTTGAAGAAAAAGGTCCTAAAAGCTCTCAACATATTTTTCTTCCTTATCACACTATTTAAGACCCTAAAATGCAAAGCACTCATTTCTTAATTTTCAAAAGTAAATTTCTTCAAACCAAAGATTTTGCAAATTTACAAAATATTGGTCATCAAATTTTGTTTATAAATCTATGTCGAGCTCAATATAATTTTACCATCATAAAATAAATAGATTATTTTCATAACTCAAACTATGATCATCTAACTCAAAAAAGATCTCAATATAAAAATGATGAGTTCTTGAATAGAGTATCCATCTTGATTAGCTTTGTGATAAAAAAAAATAATCTTTTTAATCTTCAAAAATAATTTCTTCAAACAAAATTTTTTATAAATATAAAATCCTTCTAAGACCTAAATATTATTTTCTAAAATTATCAATTAAATATTTTTAAATAAATGTATGTCTTTCTCAGCGTAATTTTGCCATTGTAAAATAGATAGATTATTTTCATGACTCAAATTATGATATATTTGACCTCCAAAAGTACAAAAGAGAAGAGTCTTTAATTGAAGTGCCTATTTTGATTGGTTGTGTGGAAAACACATATAGTCTTTTGTGTTTATTTTCAATTTTGTTTATGATTTGTTTATGTAAATGTAATGAGTGGGGTTTATAGATAATGTCTCCTTTCTACCCATAAAAGTAAATATCCACTTGAAAAAAGAGTTTTTACTTGATACTTTGCAATGTTCTTATAATGAACTATGCATCTTATGTACCACCACAAGAATAATCATGTGGTTTGTGATAAGGAAAGCCTATCTATTCACCATTCACACAACATGCATTAAAATAAAAGTAAAATAAAAGAGAAAGATTTTGTTCCTTAATTTTTCTTAGTAGTTATTGGCTCATCTTCCAATTTATTGTAGTTTAATTTTATTGGAGAGAGTTCATCTTTTTTTTTCATTCTTGAATTAATCTTCGTTAGAAATGTTTCTCATGTCTTTTATATATATATATATACTTGAAATAGAAAATAATTAGGTATTTAATTCGATATGCATATGATCTAATCAAATCACGAGTCGAGTCGAGTCGAGACGAGGAGAACCCCATCCACTACCATTTCGCACGCGAAGAGGAACCCGACCTATGGGTCCCCCAGATCGAGGGACCCAGACGAGAGGGTGAAAAGTTGTAGGGGAGGCATCGTGGGTACGCGTACAAGGAGTCGTATTCATTCCAATGACACCAACATCAAGATGGATGCTGATTGGGGCTGCGCTGGGACCCGTCTCGGGCCCAGCATCGGATCCAATAGGGAAAAGCCGTGTCGTGGTTCCTGACGGGGCGCGGTTTGTTCATACTGGTCTGGCTCTCATCCACGACTGAATGATTGGGCTGCGTAGGTGTTCGACGATATGACGCAGCACATGGCGGGAGACACGGCGAGAGGACGACACCGCGGCCGCAGGTCGCAGATGGAGACGTCCGCTCAACTTGTGCTGCTGACGTTGCGGCCGAGATTGACTCACCCATTCACTCTCTTTCACTCACCGTGTGATTTCATGCAACACACATCTCACTCACCAAGTAATTTTATCTTTCATCCGAACTATTTGCTACGAATAGTTCGACAAATTCTGAGATTTTTCTTAAATAACTTTTTTTTTTTCGACATCGTCGTAACCATAGTTATCGAAATCGGTTAGAACATCAATCTCGTAAAATCTGAAGTCACTAAATAATTTATTGAATCACCATACCATGTCGAACGATCAAACAATAAGTTTAATATTTTTTAAAAAAATATATTATATTAAAAAAATATAATAGTATAAAAGAAGAAAGTTGATAAGGAATCATTTGATCATCCTACGAGGAATTGGAGTACATGAGCTCCAAAAATATAAGCATAGATTTTATCCTTTTCGTAAACTCCAAAAAACATATAAGAGATATTTGACGGACTTATGAACTCTTCTGTATTTCTCTAATATGAAATACAGTATAATTTTTTATTTTTTATTTATTTTTATAATAAAAAATAAAATATCTTAGGTTGGAATTAAACTCTAAAACTTCTTGTAATTCTTCCGTAAGGTAGTATAGTTAAAGACAAGAATCATGGACATACCTTATCTGGGAACGCCAGAGTATTTGGACATGGTTCGAGAGAGAGAGAGAGAGAGAGAGAGAGAGGAGGAAGAAA